AGAGGATGCGGATTCATTTGCTAAAAGGGCAGAAATGTATTATCAGAAAAGGCCAGAATTGATCACACTTGTTGAGGAATTCTACCGCATGTATCGGTCATTAGCCGAGCGTTATGATCACGTGACCGGGGAGCTCCGGAAAAATATTCCTTCAGATCTTCAATCACAGGGGTCAGGCATCTCTGACGTGGGTTCTGAACCACCCTCCAGGTTGCCCTCTCCTGATCGGAGGCCAAGCCGTCCTAAACCTGGTCCTCGTGCTGCTGGATTTGAATTTTTTCTTGGCGCAGGCGGAAGTAGCTCGGATCTGGCCAAGGAAGGAGATGAATCCTCAACATTAGATTCTGAATCTGAATCAGATGATTCGTCTATCAATAATTACTCAAGTACAATAAGCAATGATGATGACCATGGGTTGCGTAAGAAGATTGGTGAATTGGAGGTCGAGCTCCGTGACGTGAAAGAGAAGCTTCGCAAGCAACATGAAGAGGTCTCTGAGAGCTCCGTTAGGGGATCACATGTGGACAATGATAATCTTATCGCAAGGATATCTGGGTATGAAGAAGACCTTAGAAATGCAAAAGAAAAGATCCGGTTATCAGAAGAAGAGATTAGCAGGTTGAGAATTGAGCTTCAGAAGTATGTATCAGGGGACTTCGTGAAGAACGTCCATGAGCTTACTGCTGGACAGGAAGCTAAAATTTCTGATGAGGGGCTGCAAGAGAATGCTATAGAGGAAGAACCACAAGTTTTGGACCCAGAAGGTAAGATCCGAACACTTGAGGAAGAGTTAAGGAGCACCATAGAGAAGCTTCATGATTCAGAGAAGGAGGTGGAGCGCTTAAGAGACGAACTTAAAAGTAACGGTTCCTCCGTAAAATTACTTCATGAGCAGCTTGGATCAGCACAGAAAGATATTTCTGGCTGGAAAGCCAAACTTGAGAGAGAGAAACGAGAGGTTACAAAGCTGCAAGACCGAATTGCAAGGTACAAATCCAATTTGTCAGACCGTGATCAAGAAATCAGAGGACTGAAAGAATCAATATCAAATGCCAACAAGGCTTTGGCAGAAGAGAACTTGGATCTTCAATGTGAAATTACCAAATTATTGAAGGAACGAGCATATTTGGAGGATAGTATCAAAGAAATGGATCTACGTTGCCAATCATTAGAGGAGGATGTTAGACGAGCTGTAGCAGGGAAAGAAGAAATGGAAATGCTGCTAAAATCTGAAATCGAGCAGTTAAAGTTGACCATTGCTGAGAGGGACAACCATATCGAAGAACTGAACAGAAACCTTGATGCATTATACCAGAAATATGATGCATTGCAAACAGAGAAAGATAACCTAAATGCTAGAGTTGCCTTGCTAGATGAAGATCTAAGAACTAAAGATGATCAGATTGATCAAATGAACAACCATTTGAACCAACTTCACATTGAGCACGTCAAGTTGATTTCTGAAACTGAAGGTGCCCGTAAATTGGTAGAGGAGCTGAGGTCTAGAGTTAAAGAAGTGGAAAGAGAAGTAGAGAGACAAAAGGAAATAGTTTTGGAAGGAGCAGAAGAGAAACGCGAAGCAATTAGGCAGCTTTGCTTCTCACTCGAGCACTATAGAAATGGTTACCAAAGGCTTCGACAAGCTTTGGAGCATAAGAGACTACCTGTAATGGCGGCCTAAGTCCATTAGTGATGGTGAGAAGACGTTATGATCGTTTCAAACTCTGCTTTTTTGTTGTCCAAAACACCATTTTACCTTCTTGCTTTTCGTTTAGGGTTCAGTTTTTCTTTTGTTCAATAGCTCCTTTCGTTAGGCATTTGCCTTCCCAGTATTCCGGCTTTTCTATGTCTGTAATTGCAGGAATACCAGTTGTGGTTTTCTAAATATCTGTGCACTTTCTTACCATAACAGAAACCAATATGAATAACAATTCAGCTTTGTATGAAGTCTAATTTCGAACAACCATAGCACCAAACTATGGCTGAAACTGTCAGGCTGAAGAAACGATACAATTCGAAGCACAGAGAAGGTAATAGGACAACTCAATGTATAATTATACCTAGGTTAAAGATGTAGAGGTAACAAAGTCAGAAATATGTACCTCATAAAAATTGGAGATCAGATCTTATTAGATCAAATATAAGTAATAACAACACATTTTGTAAATTGTGTTCCCTTTACAGATAAGATGAACAAATTGGAGTCCAGGCTTAACTTAGATGAATGTATACATGATTATGATGCTTAAGATATTGTGTTGCAACTTGAAAGTATTCTTAATGGTATATTGAGTTTTATATATGAGAGTGGGAAGGGTAACAATGGCCTTGTAGTTTGATGAGTGGCTCAGAGTCGAGGTGAGCTTCTGAATGAGCGATTACATATATTTGGAGGATTGGGTACTACGCCATTATGGTACATGAACGAAGTTGGTCCCCTATAGGTCGTAGTAAACCCTAGTTTCTTATTCTTTCTTGATCTAGAGAGAATATTTTCAGAGAGGATGAATTTGGTCAAGTTTAGGGAATTTAAGAGAATAAATTGAATTGTGGAATTTGCGGGTTCAAAATATTATGTAGGGCCTAGGGTAGAGGGTAAATCAACATAGTATTGGGTCAAAACATTTAGAAAAAGACTCAAAAATCCCTTGAAAATAATTATCGAACTCTCACTGACAGTCTGACCTATGGTCCTACCACAGACCGTCCTGATTGACCTTTGCTGGGTTCAGAGACCACCATTTTTGGATCCCCAAGGATGGGAACCCATGTACGGTCTGTGAGTAAACTTACAAACCGACTGTGAGTCTCAACTTTTGATCCTAAAAGTTCAGTTTTGAGACTCACCTACGAAACTTGCCTACGACTCGTGCATTGAATAACAGACCGTCCTAGTGAACCGTATGACTCAACTCCTTCCTCTTTTCAACTATCTCCACATATGTTTTAAAGTTTGTTATCTAAATCTCCTCTTTGAAAAAGACCCATCCCCTAAATCAATTTCTCTCACCTGAGTCAAAGTACACCATTCGTTATCAACCAAAATTAGCAAGCATTTAAATGTGTAATATGCACGTGCAATGCACGTGTCAAGAACAAGTATTATTATAAATGAGAACAAAAAAGTTGAAAGTTGAAATACCAAAATAACCCTATATAGTTGAGTTACTACAATAATACCATTATATTATTATTATTATTATTATTAAATAGTAATTTAAGTTCCATAACAGAAAACTTTTTATATACCACTAAAATGTTACCGTAATAATTTGAAGTGCATTTATGAGTATTCCTTTTGCCATTATTATTGAGTTGCATTAAAAAAATTTCTTTTTAATTGCTGAATTTTGAGCACTTAAAGTAATTACCGTTTTAGATTAAAAAAACTTAAACATTAGAGCATATGAAGAGAGAGGTTAGAACATATGGAGAGATTCATACAATATCAATATTTAATTGAAGAGAATACATGGTTAGATGTCACAATTTTATTATTTTTCACTTCTTAATGACTTTAATTCCTAAGCTTTTTAGCTTCTACAATTAAATACATTCATTCACAATCTTTCATATACATAATTTCTCTCTTTATAAATTGAATAGAAAATATTAATCCATTACACTTTATATTTTCACATCGTATAGTTCTTATGTAATCTTTTATTCATTGGTCATTTTTTTCATTTTGTATGGTAATATAGTGTTAGATATTTGGCAATCTTGACAAATCATATAATTGAAGTAGTAATCTTTTTTTTAACCAATAATATAGTGTATCCCACATGATTAAAAGAAAAAGTTTTTATCAATACAATCAGAAATTATTCAGATTCTATTGATCTTTGCAAGTTGCAACCTTAGTTGAATGTTTTACCAGAAACATCATTTTTACCCTTTAAATATTGTATAATGCATCAATTATTCTATAATAATTATATCACTTGAAATGTTTGGTATTAAATAACATGGGATACACACGTGCAATGTACGTGTTCGAGAACTAGTTATAAATAAGTGAGAGCGCCGCAGTGTACCCTGCTAAATAAATCATACAAGACAACATAGACGATATATCCCCCACCCCCACCACCGAAATGTATTTTTCTATTGATTAATAGAGAAAGGAAGTTGGATCAAGAAGACAATTATTAACGCTATCAATTGAGGTATGTCATTTATGATAAAATGAGGTATTTGCAATTCATTTATGCTAGTGCAAACTAGGGGTCTACATAAATCGATTTGGTATTTCAATTAAAAAATCTAAACCAATTATGTCGACTTATTAAATCTAAAAGCCAAAACAAATCACGCAAAGTCTTTTTTTTTTCAATATTGATCGGTTCTTTCCTTTTTTAAGTTTTTTCGATTTTTTACAATAATACGGTGTTTGAAAAGGAAATCAAATATATTTTCACTTAGCTATGTGATAAGCTAAACTTAAGAAATGTTAAATGAATAGAAATTTTTCGTAAAATCGATAAAATTTACATGAGTACAATTTTTTTTTTAAATATCAAGGTTCATTATATTATATTTAATTAATAAGATAAAAGGATACAGTCAAACTGAATACAAACTTAAATTTTTATATGCTATGTCCGTTAACAAATTTATTTTACTAAATTAAAAAATCCAAAAATTATACTTTAAAAGTCTAAAAAGTTACCTAACTTTAATAAATTACATGACCCATTTTTTTTACCCCTCAAGACCTAACCCAAATGAAAAATAACTCAAACATGTATTTTTCTATACCCAAGAATTAATTGTTTTAAATAAAAAACCAAACAATTTCTTTTGCATTTTTTTTGGGGATATAGGGGGAGGGGGGTTGGTAGGTGGTTTGGGTTGATAAAAAACACTTTAAAAATATTTTGTTTTTAAAGCTTTTGACAAGATCCCCACTATAATATGAGTATCCATATTATCTACTGGGTAACTTTTTTTTTTACCCATTTATAAATGATTCGAGTACTTCATTCATTTTTCATCGACTCAACTCGCTCATTCGTCACTCCTACATGTTATTATCCTTTGTAATACGTTTTGAATTACAACATTTTAGTCACATTAGTGTTTCACACTACTCTTTTAGTACAACTTTCTAAAAAAAAAATTAGTATGCTAATGGTTATGCGATTTAACGCAGGTGCATACTTATGGATTCAGGGGATGGCTCTACTTCAAGATGGTTTTGTCGAGAGTGTAAGCGTGCCATTACCAAAACGGGATACACAGCTTGTGAATGTGGGTGTAAAACATGGGTAAACAATGGGACTAATGAGAAATGGCTCATCGCGGATATCCCATTGGCGAGTCCTCCACTTAACAATAAAGGTCCGATTCTTTGTACTGATGACAGGGAGTCTGAATAGGACTGTGAAGTTGTTGGAAGGAAAAGAAGCATGAAGGACCCTGCTGAGACTGAAAACCAAAACAAAGGCCGAACATATTTTCTTCGGCCACGCTATATGGACAGGTCTAAGAGTATGAATGAGGAATCATCTGATGATGAGGATTCAGATGAGGAGGGGTCTGATCACGAGGATTGCGATGATCAGAATAAACTTTCTCCTCCTGAAGAGAAGGAACATGTTCCTGTCAAAGAAACAATTCCTTTAGTATTTCGATTTGAAGATGAGGACCCCGTTCCCCCAGTGAAAGAAGAATATGAAAAGGAAATCGAAGATTATTTTGCTGAAATGAAGATGTGTTTGTTGGAAAAACGGATAAGCCTTACAAATTCTTCACCTGTTTTGCAGATGCAAAGTGAAAAATTAAGTGACTGTCAGATGGGGAATCACAAGCTTAAGCTAGATGAACAAATTGGACACATCTGTCCAATTTGTTCAAATGTGATTTTGGAAATGAAGTACATCTTCCCTGATTTTGTAAGTATACGAGTTTTGTTCTGTGGAGCACTTTTTTTTTTTAAAATAATCTAAATGTATGATAGTTTTATTATCTTTAGTTTATATTTTGTTCACTCTTAAAATCATGAAATTTTATGTGTCATTTGCAGGCTAGAAGACCTCGACAAAGGCATAGAAGAAAATATCTCCGAGAGTCGCCATCAATTTTCAGAGCTTCTGATTCTTCTGCAGACCAAGATTCAGCTATTTATGAAGAAGAAGGAACGGTGTGGGATTTAGTTTCCCCAAATGTTAAAGCGGCAATGTATCCTCATCAACGTGGAGGATTCGAGTATATGTGGAAACACATTGCTGGAGCTATAAAATTTGAGAGGCTGAGAGAGCACCTATCTAAGAGTAGGGGGGATGCATTATCTCACACCCACCTGGCACCAGGAAAACCCGACTCACCATTGTGTTTCTTCAGTCTCTTCTGAAGATTTATCCGAAGAGTCGGCTTATAATCATAACTCCATCAAGTTTGCTTCTTAACTGGGAAGCCGAGTTCCAGAAATGGGAGGTTGACATTCCCTTCTACAATTTGAACCGTAAAGATTTCTCCTCCCAAGAAGAAGAAGCTACAGTTCGTGTCTTTGGTTGTTTATCCGATGCAGGAAGAAAAGACACACAGTTTATACATTTGGTGAAGCTGTAATCCAAACCGGAAAGTAATAGTGTTTTGGGAATAAGTTATGACTTGTTCAGGAATCTCACGGTAGAAGATGGAGAAGTTAATGCCAAAGTGATACGAGAAATACTTCTAAAATCACCTGGTCTTCTGGTCCTTGAAGAAGGGCACACTGCCCGGAATGAGAACAGTCGTGTGTGGAAAGCACTGAAAAAGGTTGAAACAGAGAAGCGAATACTTTTGTCTGGAATTCCGTTCCAGAATAATATCAAAGAATTTTACAACACTCTGAGCATAGTTTGTCCAAAGTTTACTGCGAATTCAGAGCAGAAATGGGCTTCTCCGAGCAGTTCCATCGACAATAATCCCCGAGCATTGAAAGAGCTTAGGGATATTATTGCACCAATTGTGCATACGTGCACTGAAGATGTAAAGAAGGGAAGCCTTCCGGGTTTAAAAGTACAGTGATACACTTGAAGCCCACAGATTTGCAGAAGGAGTTGCTTAAGAGAATTCCAGAGAATCCGGGCTCCCTTTCCAATATGTTGTCTCTGATCTCTGTTCAACCTTCATTAGTTGCAAACAAGAAGGAGTTCTCTGATTTAGAAAGTCAGCTAAGTGAAAGAAGATATCGGCTGGATCCTGATATTGGAGTAAAAACTAAGTTTGTTGTTGAATTAATCAAACTCTGCGATGGGCCAAAGGACAGGGTTATAATATTTAGCCAATTACTTGAGCCTTTAAAGCTGATCAAGGAGCAACTCATTTCTCTCTTTGGTTGGACTTTAGACCGATAGATTCTATATATGGATGGGACACTTGATGCAAAGCAGCGGCAGATATCAATAAATTCTCTTAATGACCCTAAGAGTGGTCAAAGTACTTCTTGCATCAATAAAAGCTTGTTCAGAAGGAATAAGTCTTATAGGGGTATCAAGAGTTGTTTTGCTTGACATTCACTGACTGGAATCCCTCGGTAGAACAAAAAGCTATCATTCGAGCATACCAGAAAAGGTCAGACTAAATTTGTGCATGTTTACTATCTGGTAACATCAAAATGGGAGGTTCGATCTTGTCAACCTCCCATTTCGATGTCACTGGACAGTAAACATGAACAAATTTTTTCTGACCATTCCTGTATGCTCGACTGATGGCTTGCTGTTCTACCGAGGGATTTCAGAGAACGTCAAGCAAAACCACTCTTGAGGCCCCTATTAGACTTATCCCTTCTGAGCAGGCTTTTGTCGATGCAAGAAGCACTTTGACATCACTCTTAGGGTCATTAAGAGAATTTATTAATATCTGCCGTTGGTTTACATCAAGTTTCCCATCCATATAGAGAATTTCTCGGCCTAAAGTCTAGCTAAAGAGAGAATTGAGCTGCTCCTTGATCAGGTTTAGAGGATCAAGTAACTGGCTAAATATTATAACCCTCTCTTTCAATCCACCACATAGTCTGATCAGTTCAATAACAAATTTCATTTTTACCCCAATATCAGGATCCATCCGATATCTTCTTTCCTTGAGCTGACTTTCTAACTCAGAGAACTCCTTCCTATTTGCCACTAATGAAAGATGAACAGAGATCAGAGATCAGTCGTGTTTTTCCCGTGCCAGGTGGTTGTGAGATAATGCACCCTTTCTTACTCTCCGATAGGGGCTCTCTCCAGCGATGTTGTTCCACATGAACACGAACCCTCCACGTTGATGAGGATACATAGTAGCTTTGGAACTTTGGGGAACCAAATCCCACAAGGTTCCTTTTCCAAAAATGGGAGAATCCTCAGCTACTAAAGAATCAGGAACTCTGAAGTCGTCAACATCCAAGACTGATGGGGATTCTCCAAAGCATTTTCTTTCGTACCTCCCTTGAGTTCTCCGAGCCTGCAGATGACACATAAGTTGAAGAATTTAAGAGTAAAATAATAAATAAATTGGAGGGATTCTTCTTTCTCAGGGGGAAGAGGTTCCTCGTCTTTAAATCGGAATACTAAAGGAAGTGTTTCTTTGACAGAAACATGTTCCTTCTCTTCTGGAAGAGGGACTTCCTTGCGATCATCGACATTTTTTATTTAATCAACAATGAACTTAAGAAATTCAGTCTCTTCAAGAATCTTCTTCGGATTCTTTCGAAGAGCATCTGTTGAAGATTCAATTTGCGACTTAAAGTATGAGGTTGCATCAGGATCAATCTCCTCCTCCCCCTCCTCCTCCAACTCCTCCTCTTCTTCCTCCGCAACAATAACAACATCAGGATCACTGCCCTCCTCAACAATATCAACATCAATATCAGGATTAGGACCAGTCTCCTCCGATGACGAATCATCATCATCAGATACTTTCTCAACGAAACTCTGCTTTGTTAAGCACTCAGAAGTTCCTCTACTGAACTTCCTCCTCCCATTGTTTTCCACTCTAGAAGTCTCCATCTTTTTTCTTTTCCACTTTGACTCAACTCGTTTCTCTTTTTTTAAACAAACTCCACTATATGTTTTAAAGATTGTTGTCTAGTTCTCCTCTTTGAAACAGAGCCGTCCCTTGAATCCATCTTCCTCACCTGAGTCAAAAGTACATTTTTCGTCATCAATCAAAATTAAAAGAAAACATATACTGAAACTAAACTAAACTGCATTTACAAATACCTTTTTCTGCCGGAAAATCAAAAACAGATCGCTTTGAATTCTTCAATGATGTAAAAGAAAAATAGAGTAATATACAGTTATGAATGAATTGAATGCATAGACACACAACTATATATAGAGAGTAAGAGCACAAACAAAGCGTGAGTTAAGAGAAAGGCCTTTTAGCGTGACCGAAAAAACTTTAGTAAAGTGTGTGCATTCTGTGATACAATATTCCAAAAGATGTAAAGCGTGAATGTTAACTCTTTCAACTGAGTCACATGAATTGTCAATAAAGAATTGTCTTTTTTTAAAAAGAGTATTTTGGGTAAAAAAATAAAAATAATATAGTTTTTTTTTCCACTTTAATTCAATTTGTGTTTTTTTAAAAAAAATTCATATCCTTTAGTTAATTATTGTCGCTTTTATTTGTGTAAATTTTTATAATTATTTTTTAGTAAAAAATTGACAATCGATTAAGAAAAATATTTCAATTATAGACATCATCATCGGCGGCTCCCTCATATTAGGTTTTTGGCGGAAAAAGGAATGAGATTGATGATTATAGACCACTGATCTAAAAGGTATCTGGTTTGTTTATAACCCTAGAAAAAGTAAATTAGTAACGATATAACTTTGAAAAATAATTGTTCATCATAACAACCAAGCCTATTTTGATATGAAGTATAAAGAGAAACCATTACTGCTCAACTGACGAAAACCACTAATGATCATTAGACCATTAAATAAAAACTTTTTCGTTGCAGATCGTAATATTGCGACATTGCAAGCATATCTCACTAAATCGCTCACTATAATAAGAAGATAAAAACAAAGACTTAGAGTAAAGGAACCAACCATTAAAGCCGGTTGTCCCTCACGGCCAGTCCGACCCATTTTGAAGGTCAAACGAGCCCCGAAGCGAGCATAACCCTCATTTCGACGATTTTCGTGTGCTATAGCAAACCATTTTTTGGGTGATCCGGATTAAGATGTCAAAAATTCCAAATTTTTTTGTGGACATCCGTCAATACCTTGGCTATGGAGCCAGTCGGCTATCACGGCCAATCCAACTCATTTTCAAGGTCAAACGAGCCCCGAAGAGAGCATACCCCAATTTCGATGATTTTTGTAAGCAATAGCAAACCATTTTTAGGTGATCCGGATTCTTACGTCAAAAATGCCAAAATTTTTGTGGACGCCCGTCAAGACCTTGGATATGCAGTCAGTTGGCCATCACGGCCAGTCCGACCCATTTTCAAGGTCAAACGAGCCCCGAAGCACGCATACCCCCTATTTAGATGATTTTCGTGTGCTATAGCAAACCATTTGATCTGGATTCCGACGTCAAAAATGCCAAACTTTTTTGTGGGCATGTATCAAGACCTTGACTATGCATCCAGTTGGCCCTCTCGGCCAGTCCAACCAATTTTCAAGGTCAAACGATCCTCGAAGCGCGCATACCCCCATTTCGATGATTTTCGTGTACTATAGCAAATAATTTTTTGGGTTATCCGGATTCCGACGTCAATAATGCCAATTTTTTTGTGGACATCCGTCAAGACCTTGTCTATGCAGCCGGTTGGCCCACACTGCCAGTACGACCCGTTTTGAAGGTCAAACGAGCCCCGAAGCGAGCATACCCCTTATTTCGACGATTTTTGTGTGCTATAGCAAACCATTTTTTGGGTATCTGGATTCTGACGTCAAAAATGCAAAAATTTTTTGTGGACGTTTGTCAAGACCTTGTCTATGCAGCCAATTGGTCATCACGGCCAATCCAACTGATTTTCAAGGTCAAACGAGCCCCGAAGCGAGCATACCCCAATTTCGACGATTTTCGTAAGCAATAGCAAACCATTTTTAGGTGATCCGGATTTCAACGTCAAAAATACCAATTTTTTTTTCTTTTGCTTTTTTTTTTTTAAAAATTGAATAATTCTTTTTTAAATCAAATCGCTGTAAAGGCAGCGATTTACACTTAATTTATATTTTTTTAAAAAATTTAATTAAATCGCTGCAAAAAAATTAGCCGATTAAATTAAGTTTTAAAAAAAATAAAAATTAAGTGTAAATCGCTGCAATTTCCAAAAAAAAAAATTTAATTAAAAATGGCTGCCTTAGCGATTTTTCCAAGATTTGATTTTAATTTTTTTTAAATAAAGAAAAAAAAAGAAGTTTAATGTAAGTCGCTGCAAAAGCATCGACTTATTAAAAAAATTTTATATTTTTTTTAATTTTGAAAATCGCTCCACTTGGAGCGATTTGTTTAAAATTTTCTTTTTTTAAAAAAAAAAGAAATTTAAGAAATCGATGCTAAAGCAGCGATTTTGCTTTTTCCGACGGATAAACTCGCTACATCGTAAGCGATTTTGCCGTTTTGATAAAAAAAAATTGGTATGCCCTTTTGGAATTTTTAACAATTTTTTTTACCTTTTTGACTCCGAACTCTACAATACATTATCACAAAGTTATTCTTAAAAAAAATTAGCATTTATCGAGCAAATTTAGTTCAATAATAAAAAACCAAACAAAGTTGTAATCTGCTATATTTGTTGAGGCATTTGTTAGTCAAATCATTAGTAATTATATCATCATGTTTATATTCCATGAATACTTCATCATTCCTATAGTATTCTCGGAAAAAAAAAATATATCTAGATATATTACAACTATAACTCGTGTGTCAATTTTTATATATGAAATTCTCAAATCAACCTTTTTTGAGAATATGGGATTTTGATAAAGATGAAATTGCATGTCCAAATATTAATTTCTTCTCTAATTTCAAATTACAAAATGAAATCGCATGTCGAAATACCCTAGTCTGAGAACTCATATACGTTGGAGGGGTTATCAGGAATGACACTGGTGATCTCATTATGGCTTTCTCAGTCCCAACTCAATGTAAAAGCAACAATCAGGCAGAAGAAATGGCAGCACTCTATGCAATAGAATGGTGTGATCGACCTTGATACGACAAATACGATCTGGAGTTGGACTCAATGATGATTACAGATCTTATGTATTCTAGTGATGCTGGAAGGGACAGTAGAATTTACAGTGAAAAGAAAAATAGATGTAGAGTTGTTGTTAAGATTTTTAGGTGCCACACAGGATAGGAGCTCAATAAGGAGTCACAAAAATTTGTTTTTTGATAACTTGGAAAACAAATGGATTTATTTACATAAACACTACAAGTACTTGCATCACTTATAATACAAAAAGAAAACTTCCCTCCTTTTGCCATACTCTCCCTAGTGTAAACATACTTAATCAAAAAGAACACACTTTTGCCAAAGAATATTACTTAATATATATATATATACGTATATAGACACTCGTTTCGTGCATAAGGGTCTCAATTTTGAGGATGAAATAAGTTTGATCCCGCGATATGTGGAGTCTTCAAGCCTGAAATAGCAAGTAAAGGAAGTTAGACAATATTAGCTTATTTCGAGTAAGTTGTATAGACCATATTTGAGTAGACTTGCCTGAGCTAAGGGGATCATTGGTCGTGCAGTTTCGGAGATGGTCTTCTTTTTGAGTTGGTTAGGTAAGGGAAGCTGTGTAGGCCTAGATGGACCTGCACCAGTAGCTTCAGTAGAAGTTGTTCCTTGTGATTCTTGTACTGCCTGTGTCAGTATCTCAACCACTTCGCTCATTTTTGGTCGCTCTTTGGCGTTCTTGTTTAAGCAGCTATCAGCCAGTTTAGCAATTCTCTTAGCAGCAATAATTGAGAAGTCGTTTCGAAGCCTCGAGTCAATTATCATGCTAAATCTTCTACTATCAGCAGGAAATTGTTTTACCCAATCAAGAAGTTTCTGCTCGTTCACAGGACGGCTCCTTTCCAAAGTTCGCCTGCCTGAGAGGATCTCATAGAGGACAACTCCAAAGCTCCATACATCACTCTTAACTGATAGATGTCCAGTTTCCACATATTCAGGGGCAGCATATCCTAAAGTCCCCACCGGCTAAGAACAAAGAGTTACGTATTAACAATCAGGCCATGAGAATTGAAGTCTAAAACATGCCTAACCTGCGCAATTCTTAAGATTTAGGGGTGTGGATCCAAGTTTAGATATGGGGGTGGGGATGCGTCTACAAATTAGAGTTATATGTCTAAATTATGAGATATTGTGTGGAAAACTTACAAGGTATTCCGAAGAAAAAATATTGATTAAGACTAGAATCCCCAAAGGTGATACAAGCAAAAGGACTGACTTAAAAATTTCTCTATACAATTTCATCTTAGTTTTTGTCTTGATTACAGAAATCATTGTATCTATCCCAAATTTCTCTGTTGATTTTGGTAAAAGTACCCATAGTAGATTGACCAAATCTGGTACAGATCCCACACCCACGCCGTGTCAACACAGGTGAGACACTGAAAGTGAAAAGTCGGAGCAACTTAGGGGAGAAGAAGACATAAAAAGGCAGTCCCTTCAAGTATTAGCCAAAAAGGCAGGTATATCTCAAATGTACAGAATTTGGCATAAAAAACCCCTACCACGCCCTCTTTTCTATGGAAGTCCACTATTAAAATAACATTATCATCACTTACCGCTGTAGACACATGAGAGCGGTCACCAGCTGGCCCTTCCCTTGCAAGCCCAAAATCTGAAAGCCTTGCACAAAAATTCTCATCCAGTAGCACATTTGATGACTTGAAATCTCGATATATCACCTTCAGTTTTAACCAAAAAGTATTCATTAAGAAAGGAAATGAAAGAAAAAGTCCAAGAGTTCTGTATAGAGATAGAAAGAAGAAAGGTGTTTTTAGGAGCACAAAATGCTTTTAGCTTTATATTAGGGTGCTCCAACACACCGAGGAATTGAACTTCTGCAATCCATTGTCGGTGACCCTGCATAGTATATGAAGAATTAGCAACATCTATTGTCAGAGCCACAGACAAACCAACAAAGAATTGAGACGTCATAACATATAGAGAGGACAGTGAGCTTATACAACCAAACAGAAGTGGACGTTGAACTCTTTAATTCATTAAACTCATTCAACATATGTGACAAGTAAAATAGAGCAGATAACCAGTAACAAAAGAAAATGTGCTTCCTAAACTCTAAACCTGTGGGAATCACAGTGGCTTTTGGTACATAAAAAGAAGATGTAAAGAGGAACAAAGTTAATCAATTATGGAATTCAACGTATCAATTATGGAAACATGGAGAAAAGAAGCAAGAAAGGAAACATGTGCTGCTAGCTCAATTGACGGGAGCCTGCTTATATTCATCTCAACACCTACAACCAATACTAACATGGCACTGCCTTCATTTTGAAAGAGATTGCAACTATCTGGTCCCGAAATAAGCTTAGCTAGTGAGTCTACCATCTGCCATTCTATATTTGTCGACCATTTCTCATGCATAACAAAACTTAGTTCACATTAAAATGCATATGCAAATAGTTTTTCCAAGATTCCAATCCAAATTTAGATCACATATGCCACTGCGCATTCTGTTTTACGCAGACACAAATACGACTTATCTCAATCACTTCTGATTCCAATTACATTTTACCTCTTCACATCAAATCTCTAAATTGCGACTTTTAACAAGATTGATCTTACAAAATTCAAGAAACTTAACAGCAAAGTGAGTTCAACATCTACTATATACACTTTAAACATAACTTGAACCATGTATTAACAGTGTAATGGGGTTTAGCCCTACCATGCTTCGCCCCTGCTCGTATCGAATATGAAACGATACATACACCATAGATCAAAGGAAAAGTTTATACCTGCAACCACAATAGGATCACCCTTTCCATTAGAAGGCTGAATTGAACCTTTATACACACTCCCAAAACCACCTTCCCCAATCTTTAACAATCTATTGAAATTCCTTGTAGCCTCCTTAAGCTCAGAGAGAGTAAAAACCCTCAAATTTTGTTCTCTTTCTCTATACATTTCCGGTATACTTCGAGGAGATGAAACTGAACCTGTTGACCTAGTTACCCTATTTCCTTCTGAATTACCATTTTTCCTACTTTCATTACTCAATTCTGGTGCTAATTCCCCTCTCCTACGAGACCTCGATTTATCTTTGAGTATATAAAAACACTTCAGCATTTTGCTTAAAGCTTGAAAATTCCAACACCTCAATAGGGTTAAAAAAAAAAAGTTCTGTTTTTCTTTAAGCTTCTGCTACTCTTATCAAGTCAATAACTTGGGAAAGACAAAAATTGATGATAAATAGTGAATTCTGGATGGGAACAAAGAACAGCTACCAGTACATACTTCTCCATAACTTCTGGAGGTCCCAAATGTGGAATGCTGTCTTCAAGAACATCTAATGCTCTGCCTTCCCTAACCAATGACCAGGCCCAATCAGTCACAAGCGTTGGCTGCCCATCCTTAAACTCCATTATTGCTTTCTTTCCACTCAAAAGCTCAAGAAGCACAACTCCAAAGCTATCAGTCGAGCCTACAGGAAAGCTCAGACTAAATTTGTGCATGTTTACTATCCGGTAACATCAAAATGGGAGGTTAACAAGATCGAACAACAGACGAGAAAAAGTTATCAGTTTAATGTAGTATTGTCTAGGAATGAAGTCAAGATGGATTCTTCATGTTCTGTGTCAGAGGATAACATACTAGAATCCATGGTTAAGCATGAGGGCCTCCGACATATTTTTGAAGAACTATCTCATTCACCGAGCAGTTGATTAGGTTAGTATGTGCTTTAATTTCTTCTCGTTTGCTGCTACATGTAGTAATCTGACTTGCTTACTACCTATTTTTGAATCTTATTCCTTTCCTTCTGGTTTCAGACAGTTTGATGCAAGAATGTGCAGATTCACATCTGGTTTACGAAGAATGCAGATTAGAGCTCTAAGAAAGTGCAGATTCACACCTGGTTTACGAAGAATGCAGATTAGAGCTCTAAGAAAGTGCAGATTCACACCTGGTTTACGAAGAATGCAGATAGTATTTTGCATCACCCACAGGATGTTCTATGTTCTTACAAGAGTTTATTTATATTTAAAATAATACATTATATGTGTTGGATTATATACACATTTTTGGAAGTCGTGTATACTCATATCGGATTTCTACGTACCAAATTATGATTTCAATATTTATAATTGAATTTGAATGCTCCTTTTTTTAATATGGAAAGAGAAATTTTTGTTGCTTCAAAGACTCGACGATCTTCTGTTGGTTCTTCCTCATGGTTTGATAGGCTTCATAACTCTAAAGATAAACTGAAAAATGTTGCACCAGTGAATGGCGAAGCAACATACCAATATATTAAGATGTAACAAATTTGGCACAAGTGAGGCTGATAGAAAAGCTTCAGAGAACAGATTAGGCTTCAGAAAATTGAACCATTTCGACAGACCAGTGTTTAGTTTCTAACAATCTATCGTGATTCTACTTTGAAGCACTTGATTCACAGTATTGACTTAAAGTACCGAGTTCAGGTCTTACATAGATCTCCTGAAAAATAAGGTTACCTAATGAATAGCTGATATAGAAAAGAGAAATACCTGAAAACCAGTGACTTTTTTGGCTGGGGACTTCTTTTTGGGTTCGAGTTCAAAGCTGTCCTTTTGTTCCAGCTTGCATTCTAAATCACAAAGACGTTGGAAGTTAAGGTTCACATTTTTCTGCAGATTATAGAAGATCCTTTGCAATGATTTACTTACCAGAGGTACTGTACAAGCGGCAGCTCCCTTTATGTGAGCCAATTAAAGCACCCTTCAACAATGGGAAAACAAAACAATATCAGTGATCCAATTCACCTTTTCTTAGACAATCACAATTGTTTTGTTTCTTTTGTTGATTCTGAAGCGAGTTGTGAATACACTCTAATATGACTACAAGTGAGGGGAAGCGGTTTTGTGCATGTCGAAAACCAGTAAAAGTTGGGAATATAGCTACCTCGCCATCAGGAGAGTGGCAAGTAGCAGTAACCATTTCATGAAGATCTGTCCAGTCCATAACTTTCCGATCAGATATATTCCAAATTCGAACTTTTCCATCCAGTGAACCGCTGATAAAGTGGTCGTCATCTACTGGATTGAAGTGTATGCAGGTCACTGCCACACACAGATTCATCAGATGTAAAAATATGTGATGGTAAATTTAACACGGGAAATGTAACATGATATCTCACCATAATCATTATGTGCAAACATTTTTAAGCAGCTCTGAGTCTCGATATCCCATAGCCTGACTGTCTTGTCCATTGAGGATGAAAGGAGTTGCTGCATCAAAATTTCATCTAGCATGTCATGTCAAGATTTCACTGGAATAATCTTCTTTATCAGATATTTCCTTCTTGTTCAAAAATTGATATTTTATCTCACTCCATTTCATTTTATATGATGTAGTTTGATTGTTGTGTAGTTATATATCAGTAGTGTGTAAATGCACATCCCTATGTCTAAAGAGCATGTCATTAAGAATAATATCAATTCTTAGAGTTAAGTTTATTGTAAATATAGAAAGGTATGTTCTTTTTGGTACAGTATTGTGAAAGTTAGGAGTAAACTAAGAGTTAGTTTTAAAAGCTAAGATAAGGCACGATAAATAGATTTTGCATTCTCCACTAAAACTTAATTGTACGCCACTAAAACAGCTACAGTTGATTCTTTAAGGCCTAAACCATGTGAAGTTGGTTCAACCTCATGTACCCCTAAACCAAAAGTTCAATATGTACTACTCTATGGAGCCATTGTTCTAGCAACATTGGTAGTGGTGGTACCTGATCAACCCTTTCGACGATTGGAGCCGATCAACTAGCTCATAAACCAAAAGATCAAGGAATTTTCTTCAATTTGTTCTTCTTTTGGTATTTTGCTGTTATTGTAGCATCAACAGCTATTGTCTATGTTGAAGATAACGTAAGCTGGAAAGCTGGATTTTTCATTTGTGTAGCAGCTAATGTACTTGGTACAGCCATTCTCCATTTACTAGTTTGGCTCGTGTTATTGTTGCTAGTATTACCAAAAGACAAATTGCAATTCCATCAACTGCTGAGGATTTCTTCCAGGGATGTAATGTAGTACCTAAAGAAGCATTAGCTGTTGTACCTTCATGTAATACATGCTCCCTTCGTTTCGATTTATTTGTCTGACGTAAGTCTCTTTTGTTGTTGATAATAATCTAATGAGACAATAATTTGGACTCTTATTGACTTGTTTTTCTATTATAAATTTAAGCTATTAACTTTCAAAGAGTATTGAAGTTGCTTATATATATGATGCATGTTTTTGAAGCGTGCCTCCATTATATGTGAAGGTGACATAAAATCAGATGGTTCAATAAGTAATCAATGGAGACTTTGTTCAGTACAACAAGTAGAAGATTGCAAAACCTTACCACTTTGATCAACTAGTTTTTTTCTTGGCGCCGCAATTGGCGTACAATTATGTTTTTCAGTCCTTCAAGCCTTATCGTGCTTACAAGAAAATGTCTCACAGAAACAGCATCCTAGCCTTACAAGAAAGAGATAAAACATTTGAGCCATTTTACAAAGTTAACAAAATACACTAAAACAAGTCGGACTACCTAACTGCTCCCTTTTGAAGGTTGGCTACCAAAATTAAAGCATGTCGAAGGCACCACACGAGGTGCATGAGATAGCTTTTCAAAAATATGACGGAGGCCGTCATGCTTAACCATGCATTCTAGTATGATATCCTCTGACACAGAACATGAAGTGTTCTCTTCATTCCTGGACAGTATTACATCTGAATGATATCTCTTTCTTGTTTGTTGTTCGATCTTGTCAACCTCCCATTTCGATGTCACTGGACAGTAAACATGAACAAATTTTTTCTGACCAGTCCTGTATGCTCGACTGATTGCTTGCTGTTCTACCGAGGGATTCCAGAGAACGTCAAGCAAAACCACTCTTGAGGCCCCTATTAGACTTATCCCTTCTGAGCAGGCTTTTGTCGATGCAAGAAGCACTTTGACATCACTCTTAGGGTCATTAAGAGAATTTATTGATATCTGCCGCTGGTTTACATCAAGTTTCCCATCCATATAGAGAATCTCTCGACCTAAAGTCCAGCTAAAGAGAGAATTGAGCTGCTCCTTGATCAGGTTTAGAGGATCAAGTAACTGGCTAAATATGATAACCCTCTCTTTCAATCCACCACATAGTCTGATCAGTTCAATAACAAATTTCATTTTTACTCCAATATCAGGATCCAACCGACATCTTCTTTCCTTGAGCTGACTTTCTAACTCAGAGAACTCCTTCCTATTTGCCACTAATGAAGGATGAACAGAGATCAGAGACATCAGATTTTGTTCATAAAAGGATCCCGGATTCTCTGGAACTCTTTTAAGTAACTCCTTCTGCAACTCTGTGGGTTTCAAATGTATTACTGTATCCCGTATACCTGGAAGGCCTACCTTCTTTACATTTTCGCTACATTTATGGACAAGGGGTGAAAGAATATCCCTAAGCTCTTCCAACGCTCGGGCATTCTTGTCAATGGAACTGCTAAGAGAAGCCCATTTCTGCTCCAAATCAGCAGCAAACTTTGGACTAACTACACAGAGAGTGTTGTACAGTTCTTTGATGTTATTCTGGAACGGAGTTCCAGAAAGAAGTATGCGCTTCTCTGTTTCAACCTTCTTCAGTGCTTTCCACACAAGGCTGTGCTCATTCCGAGCAGTGTGCCCCTCTTCAAGGACCAGCAGACTAGGAAACTTTAGGAGTATTTCCCTAAGCTCTTTGTTATAACTTTCTCCATCTTCTCCTGTGAGAATCTTGAACAAATCGTAACTAATTCCCAAAACACTCTTACTTTTCGCCCAGGATTTCAGCTTCACCATCCGTATAAGATGTGGATTTTTTTTCGCAGCACCGGATAAACAGTGAAAGACACCAACAGTACCTTCGTCTTCCTTTAAAGAAAAGTTCTTGCTGTTCAAATTGTGGAAGGGAATATCCATCGCCCATTTTTGGAACTCCGCTTCCCAGTTAAGAAGTAAATTTGACGGAGCTATGACTACAGGCCGACACTTTGGGAACAGCTTCAGATACGACTGAAGAAACACTATGGCCAGTCGTGTTTTTCCGGTTCCAGGTGGGTGTGAGATAATGCACCCTCCCTTACTCTCCAATAGGGGCTCTCTAAACCTTTCAATCTTCGTATCTCCAGCGATGTTGTTCCACATGAACTCGAACCCTCCTCGTTGATGAGGATACATAGTATCTTTGGAACCTTTGGGAACCAAATCCCACACGGTTCCTTCTCCAAAAACGGGAGACTCCTCGGCTGCTGAAGAATCAGGAACTTTGAAGCCGTCAACATCCAAGATTGATGAGGATTCTCCAAAGCATTTTCTTTCGTACCTCCCTTGTGTTCTCCGAGCCTGCATATGACACATAAGTTGAAGAATTTAAGAGTTAAATAATAAATAAATTGGAGGGAAGATGTATTTACAAAAATATTTGAAAAGAAAAGGGCTGGAAAGAACAAAACTCGTATACTTACAAAATCAGGGAAGATGTATTTCATCTCCAAATGGACATATGAACAAACTGAACAGAGGAGTCCTATTTGTTCGTCTAGCTTAAGCTTGTGGTTCCCCATTTGACATTCACTTAATTCTCCACTCTGCATCACCGAAACTGATGGATTCGTAAATCCAATATTTGATTCCAAGATGCACATGTTCATCTCAGAGAAAAGATCTTCTATTTCCTTTTCCCATTCTTCTTTCTCAGGGGGAAGAGGTTCCTCGTCTTTAAATCGGAATACTAAAGGAAGTGTTTCTTTGACAGAAACATGTTCCTTCTCTTCTGGAGGAGGGACTTCTTTGCAATCATCGACATTTTTTATTGAATCAACAATGAATTTAAGAAATTTGGACTCTTCAAGAATCTTCTTCGGATTCTTTCGAAGAGCATCAGTTGAAGATTCGATTTCCGACTTATAGTATGAGGTTGCATCAGGATCTGTCTCCTCCAACTCCTCCTCTTCCTCCTCCGCAATGATAACAACATCAGCATCACTTCCCCCCTCCTCCTCAACAATATCAACATCAACATCAGGATCAGAAACAGTTTCCTCCGATGATGAATCATCATCATCAGATACTTCCTCAACGAAACTCTGCTTTGTTAAGTACTCAGAAGCTCCTCGGCTGAACTTCCTCCTCCCATTGTTTTCCACTCCAGAAGTCTCCATCTTTTTTCTTTTCCTTCCATTTGTAGAATCCCCACTTTGACTCAACTCCTTCCTCTTTTCAACAATCTCCACCATATGTTTTAAAGATTGTTGTCTAGTTCTCCTCTTTGAAACAGAGCCGTCCCCTGAATCCATCTTCCTCACCTAAATTAAAAGGACAACTTTCGTCATCAATCAAAATAATAATTAAAAAACATATATAGAAACTAAACTAAACTGCATTTACAAATACCTTTTTCTGCCGGAAAATAAAAAACAGATCGCTTTGAATTCTTCAAAACTGTAAAAGAAAAACAGAGTAATATACAGTTATGAATGAATTGAATGCATAGACACACACAACTATATATAGAGAGTAAGAGCACAAACAAAGCGTGAGTAAGAGAAAGGCCTTTTAGCATGACAGAAAAAACATTAGTAAAGTGTGTGCATTTTGTGATACAATATTCCAAAAGATGTAAAGCGTGAATGTTAACTCTTCCAACTGAGTCACATGAATTGTCAATAAAGAATTGTCTTTTTTTAGAAATGATATTTTGGGAAAAAAATAAAAAATAAATGGTTTTTTGGTTTCCACTTTAATTAAATTAGTGATTTTTTTAAAAAAAATTGTGGGAACGACTTTAGTTTTAACCCATATCCTTTAGTTAAATATTGTCGCCCTTATTTGTGTAAATTTTTATAATTATTTCGAGTAAAAAATTGACGATCGATTAAGAAAAATATTTCAATTATGGACATCATCATCGGCGGCTCCCTCATATTAGGTTTTTGGCGGAAAAAAGAATGAGATTGATGATTATAGACCACTGATCTAAAAGGTTTCGGGTTTGTTTATAACCCTAGAAAAAGTAAATTAGTAACGATATAACTTTGAAAAATAATTGTTCATCATAGCAACCAAGCCTATTCTGATATGAACTATAAAGAGAAACCATTACAGCACAACTGACGAAAACCACTAATGATCATTAGACCATTAAAGAAAAACTTTTTCGTTGCAGATCGTAATATTGCGACATTGCAAGCATATCTCACTAAATCGCTCACTATAATAAGAAGATAAAAACAAAGACTTAAAGTAAAGGAACCAACCATTAAAACCTCCATTTAGACACTTAGAAAATGATATTCAATATAACTCGCCGGTGTGGGAGTAGTGACAATGATTCACAACTTTGAAATATTATTGTCAAATTCTAGTGTCAACTATAAAATGACTGTAAAGAGTCTAAAGACTGAAATGTAAAACCTAAAGGCTAAACATGTCTAAGGCCTTAACTCATATAATTATAATTAATTAAATTTCTTATCGAATTATCAGGCACCCAATTAGAAATATGGACAAATCGAGACCCGAACTAATAAGAGGATAAGAAGTTTATGGTAAATTGAGATTCGAAATGTTAAGTCATTAACCTGAACCATTGACCCAATAACCAAATTATAGGTTCGGATTATCGATTCAGATGGTACATTATTCTCTTGGTACGACTTCGTCTTTCTCAAAATATTGTCATTTTGAAAGTCTAAAATCAACTTAACTATTTTCTTATCAATTATTAGTATGCTAATGGTTATGTGATTTGACTCAGGTCCTTGTTTATGGATTCAAGGGATGGCTCAATTTCAAGATGGTCATGACAAAATTGTAACTGTCGATTACCAAATTGGGATACACAACATGTGAATGTGGGTGTGAAACATGGGTGGACGATGGGACTCACGAGAAATGGCCTTTCGTTATGGACTTGCGAGAAATAGACTAACGAGAAATGGCCTGATGTTGTTACTATTAAGGAGGAGGAGAATAATGATCTTGATGTTGTTATAGCTATGGAAGAGGGAGAGGAGGTAGAGACTAAACCTGATATTGTTACGTTGTGGAAGAGGAGGAGGAGGATAATGAGGATGAGCAAATAGATCATGACGTTTTTATCATTGAGGGGAAGACGTCTCATATGTTGAATGCGACAGATGAGGTTGTTTCTTCCAAGTCAAACATGTGCAGGATAGAGGAAAAACCCAAAAAGTTTACGGATACAACCTCATATTCTAAATATATATCATATATCATATATTACTAAAAGCATAAATCAAAAAAAGTTAAAAGTTGAATTACTATTTTACCCCTTTTATAAATTAAATTGTTATAAAATATTTAAATATTTGATTGTATAAATTTAATTAAAATGTTAATGACTTTTAGACTTCTTAAGATTAATTTCTAATTAAATATCTAATTAATTAATATTTATCATTTATAATCTATATGTATATAATAATTATAATTTTTTTTTAAAATGGTTTCCTTAACCCCTCTCATGAATAATATAATTCATGTGGATAAAGTATTATCCTTAATGATAAATAACGAAATTCAATAATTTAAAGGTTGTAAATCTGCAAAATGGAGACACACATTGATATTGTCCTCTTGACTATTATTAAAGAATGACTCTATCTTCACAAATTTAAATTCATTAACACTTATTACGTGATAAGAACTTTAGTTGTTCTTTCTACATGGTTTGCTAATTTTAATTTTCTTTTTTATATTCTTCATTTATTTATTATTATTTGTTAATTACTTATTCACTTTTATACTCTTAATATTCATAACTATCATTTTTTCATATTCATAACCTTCAAATATTTAAACTAAAACTTTAAGATTTTTTTTGATATTCCTTCTATTCTATCTATATAAATTCAACATCTTTATCTCATTAAACTCCTACCAAGATTATTAGGCTGTCATTTTTATTCTATAGTTAAAGTAGATGAAGAAGCCTATTGAATTTTGATAGGATATGGAAAGAGTCGATAAGAACTCAGAGAGTTATGTACTGATTTTTTCATGTCTACATTATATTTTTTCTTAAATCTGTTTCTTTTTATCTTTTTTTTTCTCCTTTATACTTCTTTATTTAGTTTTCTATGAATGTTATATTGCGTAAGTTTTTATTCTTATTTTGTAATTGTTATATTTTATTATTCATTAAATTTACATATATATTTCCATTAAACTTTAGTCATTCAAACATATCTACAAAAATTCACATGTCACGTGCGAAGCACGTCCTCATAAACTAGTTATTATAAATGAGAATTAAAAAGTTGAAAGTTGAAAGTTGAAATACCAAAATAACCCTATATAGTTGAGTTACTACAATAATACCATTATATTATTATTATTATTATTATTAAATAGTAATTTAAGTTCCATAACAGAAAACTTTTTATATACCACTAAAATGTTACCGTAATAATTTGAAGTGCATTTATGAGTATTCCTTTTGCCATTATTATTGAGTTGCATTAAAAAAATTTCTTTTTAATTGCTGAATTTTGAGCACTTAAAGTAATTACCGTTTTAGATTAAAAAAACTTAAACATTAGAGCATATGAAGAGAGAGGTTAGAACATATGGAGAGATTCATACAATATCAATATTTAATTGAAGAGAATACATGGTTAGATGTCACAATTTTATTATTTTTCACTTCTTAATGACTTTAATTCCTAAACTTTTTAGCTTCTACAATTAAATACAATCATTCACAACCTTTCATATACATAATTTCTCTCTTTATAAATTGAATAGAAAATATTAATCCATTACACTATATATTTTCACATCTTATAGTTCTTATGTAATCTTTTATTCATTGGTCATTTTTTTCATTTTGTACGGTAATATAGTGTTAGATATTTGGCAATCTTGACAAATCATATAATTGAAGTAGTAATCTTTTTTTAACCAATAATATAGTGTATCCCACATGATTAAAAGATAAAGTTTTTATCAATACAATCAGAAATTCTTCAGATTCTATTGATCTTTGCAAGTTGCAACCTTAGTTGAATGTTTTACCCTTTAAATATTGTATAATGCATCAATTATTCTAAAATAAGTATATCATTTGAAATGTTTGGTATTAAATAACATGGGATACACATACAACGTACGTGTTCGAGAACTAGTATATATATATATATATATATATATATATATATATATATAGTCCATAGGCTGGCATTGAGGCTTGCGGGTTGGGCCTACGAGGCTAGCGGGCCAAATGCAACTGAACTAAAAAGCCTGTTCTTAAATGGGCCAAAAAAATTAGACCCAACCCTACTTAATTCAAGGATTGAGTTGGACCGGCCTAGCGGGCCAAGCATTATCAATGGGTCTCAAAATGAGAAGCCCAATACAAGAAACTCAATTTAGTCCACCCCAAATTCGAGCCCATGTTAAAAGAGAACACCTAGGGGTTTTTTCGTATCATATACTATTATAAGAGGGAATTAAAAAAGTTAAAAGATGAATTACGATTTTACCCTTATTATAAATTAAAATGTTATAAAGATATTTAACTATTTAATTTAAATATTAAATTATATTATTTTTAATCAAAATGTTAATGACTTTTCCACTTCTTTAGAATAATTTTTAATTAAAATATCTAATTTAATTTATTTTCTTGAAATTATTTAAAATATTATTTTTTCGTTTGATATTTGTTTCGGGATTCAATGAATTTTGATTATCAAAGTTGAATTACTTTTTTGCTTTTTACTTAATAAAAATAACTAATCTAATTAGTATTATTATTTAAATTCTTACACAAGCCAATTAAATAGGAGTAATATTTTAATTATCACTCAAATTACAACAGCCTACATTCAATGTTTTGGAATTGTTAGCTTTTTCACATTTCTAAAATTGTCCTCTATTCAATATTTTGACTTCGTTTCAACTTCCTAAAATTATGAAACATTAATGTGAAGTTCATGAATCTGTCAAGCCCTTAGTATAGTTTATCTTTTACTATATAATTATATATGCATTTATCCCATTAATTTTAAATTTGTTATTTCTTTTAATTTTCATTCGTTAGAAAACTTTTCATGTACTCTATTAAGTTTTATATAAATACAACATAATATTTTTAAAAAAAATATAAGATGCAGTTTCCAATTGATTTGCACAGTAATTTTGATAAGTGTGTTACTATTCAAATTATATCATACAATTGAAAACTTGAGATTCTTATAGCCGATTGTATATTTGAGGCAACAATGTCAAAGAACCATTTCGTGGTAATTTACTTATCAGGTGATGTTAATTAATTAGTTAAAATTGTTGTGTCTTTATTTTGTTATTCTTTAATTTATCTTACACTTTAATATATGTAAGTGCATGTATTACTACAGAAAAACAATGTTATATATGAGATTATATTCTTTAGAGGTTTAATAAAAAATTTGAAGTTATTAGTTTAATGTGGTGTTGCAATGCATGAAGAACATTGATTTTAATAGTTTGTCATATTACATTCGATATATATATACTTTTTACTAATTATTTATGTTAAATTCAAAAAAGAAATGACTCAGAAGTTTAAATCACACAAAAAATAATCTTCCTTTCAAATTCATATTATTTTCTTAAAAGAAATTACTTAATGTGAAATACATGTGCGTTGCACATATTCGAGAACTAATTATAAATAAGTGAGAGTGCCGCAGTGTACCCTGCTAAATAAATCATACAAGATAGCATAGACGATATATACCCCACCCCCACCACCGAAATGTATTTTTCTGTTGATTAATAGAGAAAGGAAATTGGATCAAGAAGACAATTATTAACGCTATCAATTGAGGTATGTCATTTATGCTAAAATGAGGTATTTGTAATTCATTTATGCTAGTGCTAACTAGGGGTCTACATAAATCGGTTTGGTATTTCAATTAAAAAATCTAAACCAATTATGTTGACTTATTAAATCTAAAAGCCAAATCAAATCATGCAAAGTCAATTTTTTCGATTTTGGTCGGTTCTTTCCGTTTTTAGGTTTTTTTGATTTTTTACAATAATACGGTGTTTGAAAAGGAAATCAAATATATTTTCACTTAACTGTGTGATAAGCTAAACTTAAGAAATGTTAAATGAATAGAAATTTTTTGTAAAATCAATAAAATTCACATGAGTACAAAATATTTTTTTGGAAATATCAAGGTTCATTATATTATATTAAATTAATAAGATAAAAGGATACAGTCAAACTGAATACAAACTTAAATTTTTATTTGCTATGTCCATTAACAAATCTATTTTACTAGATTAAAAAATTCAAAAATTATACTTTAAAAATCTAAAAAGTTACCTAACTTTAATAAATTACATGACCCATTTTTTTTACCCCTCAAGACCTAACCCAAATGAAAAATAACTCAAACATGTATTTTTCTATACCCAAGAATTAATTGTTTTAAATAAAAAACCAAACAATTTCTTTTACATTTTTTTGGGATATAGGGGAAGGGGGGCTGGTAGGTGGTTTGGGCTGATAAAAAACACTTTAAAAATATTTTGTTTTTAAAGCTTTTAATAAGATCCCCACTATAATATGAGTATCCATATTATCTACTCGTATAACTTTTTTTTTACCCATTTATAATTGATTCGAGTAATTCATTCATTTTTGTTTGACTCGTTTTCTGATCGACTCAACTCGCTCGTTCGTCACTCCTACATTTTATTATCCTTTGTAATACGTTTTGAATTACAACATTTTAGTCACATTAGTGTTTCACACTACTCTTTTTGTACGACTTTCTCAAAAAAATTAGTATGCTAATGGTTATGCGATTTGACGCAGGTGCATACTTATGGATTCAGGGGATGGCTCTGCTTCAAGATGGTTTTGTCGAAAGTGTAAGCGTCCCATTACCAAAACGAGATACACATCTTGTGAATGTGGGTGTAAAACATGGGTAAACGATGGGACTAATGAGAAATGGCTCATCGTGGATATCTCATTGGCGAGTCCTTCACTTAACAATAAAGGTCCGAATCTTCGTAGTGATGACAGGGAGTCTGAACAGGACTGTGAAGTTGCTGGAAGGAAAAGAAGCATGATGAACCCTGCTGAGACTGAAAACCAAAACAAAGGCCGAACATATTTTCTTCGGCCACGCTATATGGACAGGTTTAAGTGTATGAATGAGGAATCATCTGATGATGAGTAGTCGGATGAGGAGGGGTCTGATCACAAGGACTGCGATGATCATAATAAACTTTCTCCTCCTGAAGAGAAGGAACATGTTCCTGTCAAAGAAACAATTCCTTTAGTATTTCGATTTGAAGATGAGGACCCCGTTCCCCCACTGAAAGAAGAATACGAAAAGGAAATCGAAGATTATTTTGTTGAAATGGAGATGTGTTAGTTGGAAAAACGGATAAGCCTTACAAATTCTTCACGTGTTTTGCAGATGCAAAGTGAAAAATTAAGTGACTGTCAGATGGGGAATCACAAGCTTAAGCTAGATGAACAAATTGGACACATCTGTTCAGTTTGTTCACATGTGATTTTGAAAATGAAGTACATCTTCCCTGACGAGTTTTGTTCTGTCGAGCACTTTTTTTAAATAAAAATAATCTAAATGTACTATAGTTTTTTTCTCTTTAGTTTATATTTTGTTCACTCTTAAAATCATGAACTTATGTGTCATTTGCAGTCTAGAAGACCTCAACAAAGGAATAGAAGAAAATATCTTCGAGAGTTGCCATCAATCTTTAGAGCTTCTGATTCTTTTGCAGGCCAAGATTCAGCTATTTATGAATAAGAAGGAACAGTGTGGGATTTAGTTTCCCCAAATGTTAAAGCGGCAATGTATCCTCATCAACGTGGAGGATTCGAGTTTATGTGGAAACACATTGCTGGAGCTATAACATTTGAGAGGCTGAGAGAGCCCCTATCTAAGAGTAGGGGAGGATGCATTATCTCACACCCACCTGGCACCGAGAGAATCCGACTCACCATTGTGTTTCTTCAGTCTCTTCTGAAGATGTATCCAAAGAGTCAGCCTATAATCATAGCTCCATCCAGTTTGCTTCTTAACTGGGAAGCCGAGTTCTAGAAATAGGAGGCTGACATTCCCTTCTACAATTTGAACCATAAAGATTTCTCCTCCCAATAAGAAGAAGCTACAGTTCGTGTCTTTGGTTGTTTATCCGATGCAGGAAGAAAAGACACACAGTTTATACATTTGGTGAAGCTGAAATCCTGGGCTGAAAGTAATAGTGTTTTGGGAATAAGTTATGACTTGTTCAGGAAACTCATGCTAGAAGATGGAGAAGTTAATGCCAAAGTGATACAAAAAATGCTTCTAAAATCACCTGGTCTTCTGGTCCTTGAAGAAGGGCACACTGCTAGGAATGAGAACAGTCGTGTGTGGAAAGCACTGAAAAAGGTTGAAATAGAGAAGCGGATACTTTTGTCTGGAACTCCGTTCCAGAATAATATCAAAGAATTTTACAACACTCTGAGCATAGTTTGTCCAAAGTTTGTTGAAGATTCGGAGCAGAAATGGGCTTCTCTGAGCAGTTCCATCGACAATAATCCCCGAGCATTGGAAAAGCTTAGGGATATTATTGCAGCAATTGTGCATACGTGCAGTGAAGATGTAAAGAAGGTAAGCATTCCGGGTTTAAAGAGTACAGTGATACACTTGAAGCCCACAGATTTGCAGAAGGAGTTGCTTAAGAAAATTCCAGGTCATCCGGGATTCCTTTCCAATCTGTTGTCTCTGATCTCTATTCATCCTTCATTAGTGGCAAACAGGAAGGAGTTTCTCTGATTTAGAAAGTCAGCTCAGTGAAAGAAGATATCGGCTGGATCCTGATAACCTTGTCCTTCGGCTCATCAATATCAGAATCCAACCGACATCTTCTTTCCTTGAGCTGACTTTCTAACTTAGAGAACTCCTTCTTATTTGCCACTAATGAAGGATGAACAGAGATCAGAGACATCAGATTTTGTTCATGAAAGGATCCCGGATTCTCTGGAACTCTTTTAAGTAACTCCTTCTGCAACTCTGTGGGTTTCAAATGTAAAAGTGTATCCCATATACCTGGAAGGCTTACCTTCTTTACATTTTCGCTACACTTATGGACAGGGGGTGAAAGAATATCCCTAAGCTCATCCAACGCTCGGGCATTCTTGTCAATTGAACTGCTAAGAGAAGCCTATTTCTGCTCCAAATCAGCAGCAAACTTTGGACTAACTACACAGAGAGTGTTGTACAGTTCTTTGATGTTATTCTGGAACGGGGTTCCAGAAAGAAGTATGCGCTTCTCTGTTTCAACCTTCTTCAGTGCTTTCCACACAAGACTGTGCTCATTCCGAGCAGTGTGCCCCTCTTCAAGGACCAGCAAACTAGGAAACTTTAGGAGTATTTCTCTAAGCTCTTTGTTATAACCCTCTACATCTTCTCCTATGAGAATCCTGAACAAATCGTAATTAATTCCCAAAACACTCTTACTTTTAGCCCAGGATTTCAGCTTCACCATCCATATAAGATGTAGATTTTTTTTCGCAGCACCGGATAAACAGTGAAATACACCTACGGTACCTTCATCTTCCTTTAAAAAGAAGTTCTTGCTGTTCAAATTGTGGAAGGGAATATCCATTGCCCATTTTTGGAACTCAGCTTCCCAGTTAAGAAGTAAATTTGACGGAGCTATGACTACAGGCCGACACTTTGGGAACATCTTCAGATACGACTGAAGAAACACTATGGTCAGTCGTGTTTTTTCGGTGTCAGGTCGATGTGAGATAATGCACCCTCACTTACTCTCCGATAGGGGCTCTCTCAGCCTTTTAATCTTTGTAACTCCAGCTATGTTGTTCCACATGAACTCGAACCCTCCATGTTGATGAGGATACAAAGTAGCTTTGGAATTTTGGGGAATCAAATCCTACACGGTTCTTTCTCCAAAAAGGGAGAATCCTCAGCTGCTGAAGAATCAGGAACTCTGAAGCAGTCAACATCCAAGACTGATGAGAATTCTCCAAAGCATTTTCTTTCGTACCTCCCTTGAGTTCTCCGAGCCTGCAGATGACACATATGTTGAAGAATTTAAGAGTGAATTATAAATAAATTGGAGGGAAGATGTATTTAAAAAAGCATTTGAAAAGAAAAGGGCTTGAAACAACAAAACTTGTATACTTACAATGAATTTAAGAAATTCAGACTCTTCAAGAATCTTCTTCGGATTCTTTTGAACAGCATCCGTTGATGATTCGATTTCCGACTTATAGTATGGGGTTGCATCAGGATCAATCTCATCCTCATCCTCCTCCAAATCCTCCTCTTCCTCCTCCGCAACGATAACAACATCAGGATCACTGCCCTCCTCGTCCTCCTCAACAATATCAATATCAACATCAGGATCAGGATCAGTCTCCTCCATTGACGAATCATCATCATTAGATACTTCCTCAATGAAACTCTGCTTTGTTAAATACTCAGAATTTCCTGGACTGAACTTCCTCCTCCCATCGTTTTCCACTCCAGAAGTCTCCGTCTTTTTTCTTTTCCTTCTATTCGTAGAATCCCCACTTTGACTCAACTCGTTCCTCTTTTCAACAATCTCCACCATATGCTTTAAAGATTGTTGTCTAGTTCTCCTCTTTAAAACAGAGTCGTCCCCTTAATCCATCTTCCTCACCTGAGTCAAAAGTACATCTTTCGTCATCAATCAAAATTTAAAAAAAACATATACATAAACTAAACTAAACTGCATTTACAAATACCTTTTTCTGTCGGAAAATCAAAAACAGATCGCTTTGAATTCTTCAAAACTGTTAAAGAAACATAGAATAATATACAGTTATAAATGAATTGAATGTATATTAGACACACACAGCTATATATAGAGAGTAAGAGCACAAACAAAGCGTGAGTTAAGAGAAAGGCCTTTTAGCGTGACAGAAAAAACTTTAGTAAAGTGTGTGCATTCTGTGATACAATATTCCAAACGATGTAAAGCGTGATTGTTAACTCTTCCAACTGAGTCACATGAATTGTAAATAAAGAATTGTCTTTATTTAGAAATGGTATTTTGGGGAAAAAATATTTTTTCTGTTTAATTTAATTAATGAACTCTTTTAAAAAATTATAGTTTTAACTCATATCCTTTAGTTAAATATTGTTGCTCTTATTTGTGTAAGTTTTTATAATTATTTTGAGTAAAAAATTGACGATCGATTAAGAAAAATATTTCAATTATAGACATCATCATGGCTCCCTCATATTAGGTTTTTGGCGGAAAAAAGAATGAGATTGATGACTATAGACCACTGATCTAAAAGGTTTCGGGTTTGTTTATAACCCTAGAAAAAGTAAATTAGTATTGATATAACTTTGAAAAATATTTGTTCATCATAACAACCAAGCCTATTTTTATATGAACTATAAAGAGAAACCATTATAGCACAACTGACAAAAACCACTAATGATCATTAGACCATAAAAATAGCTTTTTCGTTGCAGATCGTAATATTGCGACATTGCAAGCATATCTCACTAAATCGCTCACTATAATAAGAAGACAAAAACAAACACTTAAAGTATCAAAATCAACCATTAGAATCTCAATTTAGACACTTAGAAAATGATATTCAATATAACGCGCCAGTGTGGGAGTAGTGACAGTGAATCAATGAGAGATGTCACATCTTTGAAATATTTTTGTGAAATTCTAATGTCAACTATAAAATGATTGTAAATCCTAAAGGCTAAATGTGTCTAAGGCCTTAACTCATATAAATGTAATTGATTAAACTTCTTATCGGATCATCTGACACCGAATTAAAAATATGGTTGAACCGAAATTCTAACCGATAAGCCGATTAGAAGTTTAGGGTAAATTGAGACTCAAACTGCTAAGCTATAAACATGAACTGTTGATCCAAATAATATCAGTTCGGGTTCTCGATTTCGATTTTGAACAACCCTAATAACTGGTGGTAGGCCATAAAATGATTTTACTTGACAATGTCTTCTGAGTCATGTTCTTTGCACCAAAAGCCTAATACAATTAATATTTCTGGTGTGATTGGTGATTTACTGCATAAAAATGAGTTTATATAGTTCGTACATGAAGAATAGCGGGGTGGGTGACCAATAGTGTGAAACTCTATTGTGACCAAAATTTCATAATTCAAAATTAATTACAAAGGCTATTATTGCATGTTTGGTATTTGCGCAGGTAATAAATTTTGATTTTATAAAACCTAGTATTTGTATAATATACAATAATCTAACCGATATACATATACAATTTACCTTTCTCCCACTATTTTCCCTCTCTCGCATCTCTCTTCTATCTCAGAGTCTCGCTCGCCTCTATCCTCTATATAACATGTAGTTGTGAATTGTAATTATCAAACTATAGAGAGTAATTAGATTATATTTAAGTGGCTATATGCGGAAGTTTCCCTTAATATATCATGAAAAGCTCATTTGGGCAGATTAGTAAGCCTCGTAATGACAAGCCTATTACAAAAGAATCAACCTAATCAAGCGATAATTAGAGTTTGCGTCAAAAGCGGATAATAAGAGTTCAATTATAAATAAGAGAAAGTCAGAGACAGTAACAATAGTATTTTGGAGTTAGCACGTGGGATTTGGAAGTTTGAAAGAGATTTGCACCAAAAAGGCAAGAATCAACCCTACTAATTGAGGTATGTTGTTTGTTACAATCTTAAGTAATTGCAATTCATTTATGTTACATTACAATTGAAGGAGTTATCTGATTTAGAAAGTCAGCTCAGTGAAAGAAGATATCGGCTGGATCTTTATATTGGAGTAAAAACTAAGTTTGTTGTTGAATTAATCAAACTCTGCGATGGGCCGAAAGAGAGGGTTATAATATTTACCCAATTACTTGAGCCTCTAAAGCTGATCAAGGAGCAACTCATTTCTCTCTTTGGCTGGACTTTAGACAGAGAGATTCTATATATGGATGGGACACTTGATGCAGAGCAGCGGCAGATATCAATAAATTCTCTTAATGATCCTAAGAGTGATGTCAAAAAACTTCTTGCATCAATAAAAGCCTGTTCGAAAGGAAGAAGTCTTATAAGGGTATCAAGTGTGGTTTTTCTTGACGTTCTTTGGAATCCCTCGGTAGAACAGCAAGCCATCAGTCGAGCATACAGGAATGGTCAGACAAAATTTGTTCATGTTTACTGTCCAGTGACATCGAAATGGGAGGTTGACAAGATCAAACCTCACATTTTGATGTTACTTGATAGTAAACATGCACAAATTTAGTCTGACCTTTCCTGTAGGCTCGACTGATAGCTTGCTGTTCTACCGAGGGATTCCAGTGAATGTCAAGCAAAACCACTCTTGAGGCCCCTATTAGACTTATCCCTTCTGAGCAGGCTTTTGTCGATGCAAGAAGCACTTTGACATCACTCTTAGGGTCATTAAGAGAATTTATTGATATCTGTCGCTGGTTTACATCAAGTTTCTCATCCATATAGAGAATCTCTCAGCCTAAAGTCCAGCTAAAGAGAGAATTGAGCTACTCCTTGATTAGGTTTAGAGGATCAAGTAACTGGCTAAATATTATAACCCTCTCCTTCTACCCACCACATAGTCTGATCAGTTCAATAACAAATTTAATTTTTACCCCAATATCAGGATCCAACCGACATCTTCTTTCCTTGAGCTGACTTTCTAACTCAGAGAACTCCTTCCTATTTGCCACTAATGAAGGATGAACAGAGATCATAGACATCAGATTTTGTTCATAAAAGGATCCCAGATTCTCTGGAACTCTTTTAAGTAACTCCTTCTGTAACTCTGTGGGTTTCAAATGTATTACTGTATCCCGTATACCTGGAAGGCCTAACTTCTTTACATTTTTGCTACATTTATGGACAAGGGGTGAAAGAATATCCCTAAGCTCTTCCACGTTGATGAGGATACATACTAGCTTTGGAACTTTGGGGAACCAAATCCTACACGGTTCCTTCTCCAAAAACGGGAGAATCCTCAGCTGCTGAAGAATCAGGAACTCTGAAGCCGTCAACATCCAAGACTGATGAGGATTCTCCAAAGCATTTTCTTTCGTACCTCCCTTGAGTTTTCCGAGCCTGCAGATGACACATAAGTTGAAGAATTTAAGAGTGAATTATAAATAAATTGGAGGGAAGATGTATTTACAAAAATATTTGAAAAGAAAAGTACTTGAAAGAACAAAACTCGTATACTTACAAAATCAGGGAAGATGTGTTTTATCTCCAAATGGACATATGAACAAACTAAATAGAAGAGTCCTATTTGTTCATCTAGCTTAAGCTTGTGGTTCCCCATTTGACATTCACTTAATCCTCCACTCTGCATCGGCAAAACAGATGGATTCGTAAATCCAATATTTGATTCCAAGATGCACATGTTCATCTCAGAGAAAAGATCTTCTATTTCCTTTTCTCTTTCTTCATTCTCAGGGGAAAGAGGTTCCTCGTCTTTAAATCGGAATACTAAAGGAAGTGTTTCTTTGAAAGAAACATGTTCCTTCTCTTCTGGAAGAGGGACTTCCTTGCGATCATCGATATTTTTTATTGAATCAACAATGAATTTAAGAAATTCGGACTCTTCAAGAATCTTTTCGGATTCTTTCGAAGAGCATCAGTTGAAGATTCGATTTCCGACTTATAGTATGAGGTTGCATCAGGATTAGTCTCCTCCTGCAACTCCGCCTCTTCCCCTCCGCAACTATAACAACATCAGGATCACTGCCCTCCTCAACAATATCAACATCAACATCAGGATCAGGACCAGTCTCCTCCGATGACGAATCATCATCATCAAATACTTCCTCAACGAAACTCTGCTTTGTTAAGCACTCAGAAGTTCCTCTACTGAACTTCCTCCTCCCATTATTTTCCACTCCAGAAGTCTCCATCTTTTTTCTTTTCCTTCCATTCGTAGAATCCCCACTTTGACTCAACTCCTTCCTCTTTTCAACAATCTCCACCATATGTTTTAAAGATTGTTGTTTAGTTCTCCTCTTTGAAACATAGTCGTCCCCTGAATTCATCTTCCTCACCTGAGTCAAAAGTACATCTTTCGTCATCAATCAAAATTTAAAAAAAAACATATACAGAAACTAAACTGCATTTAGAAATACCTTTTTCTACCGGAAAATAAAAAACAGATCACTTTGAATTCTTCAAAACTGTAAAAGAAACACAGAGTAATATACAGTGAAGAATGAATTGAATGCATAGACACACACAACTATATATAAAGAGTAAGAGCACAAACAAAGCGTGAGTTAAGAGAAGGCCTTTTAGCATGACAGAGAAAACTTTAGTAAACTATGTGCATTCTGTGATACAATATTCCAAATGATGTAAAGCGTGAATGTTAACTCTTCCAACTGAGTCACATGAATTATCAATAAAGAATTGTCTTTTTTTAAAAATAGTATTTTGGGGAAAAAAATAAAATAGTTTTTTGTTTCCACTTTAATTCAATTAGTGATTTTTTTAAAAAAATCATATCCATTAGTTAAATATTGTCGCTCTTATTTATGTAAATTTTTATAATTATTTCGAGTAAAAAATTGACGATCGATTAAGAAAAATATTTCAATTATGGACATCATCATCTGCTCCCACATATTAGGTTTTTGGCGCAAAAAAGAATGAGATTGATGATTATAGACCACTGACCTAAAAGGTTTCGGGTTTGTTTATAACCCTAGAAAAACTAAATTAGTAACTTTTATCCTATTATTAATAATTTTCATTTTTTTCTTATTTAATTTTTTTATTTTTATCATTAATACTTTATTCTTTCTCATTAGTTATTTTATTTTCTATTTTATTCTTTCTCATTTATTATTTTTATTTCATCTTATCTTTTAGTAGAGTTACAATTTGGTAATTTTTTTGTTTATTTATTTATTTTGGTTAGTTTATCTTCTTTTTATTTTTTCTCTATTTCTCTATTTTTACCTTTTTAAGAAAATAAAATAAATTACATGTGTTCTTTCCTTATTTATTATTTTTATTTTCTCTTTTATTCTTTTATCTTTTATTATTTTTATTCTTGTTCATGTTATCCAATTGGGTAACAATTTTTTTTTATTTTTTTCTATATCATTTTTCATTTTATCCTTTATTAGAGATATCATTTGGTAAACTCATTATTTATCTCTTTGTTCTTCTTTTTTTATTTTCTTTTTTCCTTTATTAGAGATATATCACATTTTATTTTGATAGTGTATACTTTTATAGTATCATTTACTAATGAATAATTTATATACAAGATACATAAATGATATCATGGTATATATATGTGTGTGTATGTGTGTGTGTGTGTATATATATATATATATATCATATATTTTTATAAGAGGGAACCAAAAAAGTTAAAAGTTGAATTACGATTTTATCCTTATTATAAATTAAAATGTTATAAAAATATTTAACTATTTAATTTAAATATTAAGTTACATTATTTTAATAGAAATGGTAATGACTTTTGCACTTCTTTAGAATAATTCTTAATTAAAATATCTAATTTAATTTATTTTCTTGAAATATTTACCCTTTAAATAGATACATGTATATGGTTTATCTTCTAAATTATTTATGTTCTTAATTAATATTTGTCTTTAATTTTTGTAACACTTGACATTTCAACTTTGTAAGTGAATCTTCATATTCCAAAGATATATTTTTTCCTATGAATACAATCTTTTAACATTATTTTTATAGAAAGATTTATATGTGATACAATTTTTGTGTGTGGAAGACTAGAGAAGCTTTAATCAAGTGAAGAAAATTTCAAGGCAAGAGGATTTATGTAAAGATTACAAGGCATAATGTGATTCTACTAAAGTATCGAAGCTTGATGTATTTATTTATTGTTACTTATTTGTCGAGATCGAAACTATGGTAAGACCCCTCCATTTATGTAGTTAAATACCACTTCCATTAACTTGTCTTCCAAATATTTTAATTTTTTATGGTCAAAAGTTGAATGTTTATTACTATAACTTTGTTTCAATTTGCATTATCAAGAAAAAACAGGAAAAAGATTGTCTTAGAAGTTTTCTATTTTTCGTTGGTTGCGTTATGCTAAACTTGCTCCTATATATGATACTTTTTCTTTTTATTTGTAATTTTGTTTTAAGAATATATTTGATTGAAGGGTGTATTTTTTGCTTTAGAAATTGAGACAAATACAATTATAAAAATAGTGTATAAGACATGCAAAATAATTAATGCCTACAAGATTTTCTAATTTCAAATTATTAATAATTACATTTATGCATTTTAAATTTTAAATATTTGTAAAGAATCATTCTTACATGTGCTTGTGGATAAAATCTATAGTTTTTCGATAATTTTCATTAAAATTATCATGTCATGAGATCCAAATCCCAAAGTCAAAAAAATGATACACCAAAATGCTTAAGAAGTTAGAAGATCTTTTATCCTTTGACCAAATATTTCTCCTATTAATTTTTTAACAAATTAATATAAAATATATTTTAACAAACTTTTAATTGTAAGAATACTAAAATATTGTCATTTTGACTCTCCATTAAATTAAAATCTGATTTATTTAATTAAATATAAATATTTTATTTGTATAATTACATAATTTAAATATCAATCATTGCACTTTAAATCTTAGTTATTTCCTTCTAATAAGTTTTTTATTTATAAATTTGAATTACTTAATTGCATTCTACTTAATGAGAAGGAGAATTTCATCTTTTACTAATTAATGTCAAACATTTTATCTTCTTGAAATGTATAAATATTAATTTAATTTCAACATTTGTATGAGACAAAAAGACATTTTAAGAAAGTTAATCATAAGATAGTGTGCCTCCATTTTTGTTTTTGCTACTTTGTTTTATCTTTTAAAATAAATATATAATTTCTATATCAAAATTATAATAAAGGGAGGACTAATGTAAAAAAAATTCTTCAAGTTAACTATACATTACAAATATTTTTTGAAAAATCAAATTGTTTATCATTTTATTCATCATTATTAAGATTGATAATTTGGTAATATATACTTTTACAATATCATTACCAATGAGTAGGGTGTAACTAAGAAACCTTAATGATACCAATACAGCATATGTATATACAGTTTCAAGAAATTATCACTTGGGGCATCAATGTAAGGGGTATGTATTTGTAATTAATGTGTATTTATGTGGTATATATTTAGTTTCCTCCATTGTAAAATACTAAGGGTCCGTTTGGCCATGTGATATGAAAATAATATAAGTTGAAGTTTTGTTTAAATATGCAATTTGGAATTTTGAATTAAAAAAAAAAGAAATTTAAGAAATCGATGCTAAAGCAGCGATTTTGCTTTTTCCGACGGATAAACTCGCTACATCGTAAGCGATTTTGCCGTTTTGATAAAAAAAAATTGGTATGCCCTTTTGGAATTTTTAACAATTTTTTTTACCTTTTTGACTCCGAACTCTACAATACATTATCACAAAGTTATTCTTAAAAAAAATTAGCATTTATCGAGCAAATTTAGTTCAATAATAAAAAACCAAACAAAGTTGTAATCTGCTATATTTGTTGAGGCATTTGTTAGTCAAATCATTAGTAATTATATCATCATGTTTATATTCCATGAATACTTCATCATTCCTATAGTATTCTCGGAAAAAAAAAATATATCTAGATATATTACAACTATAACTCGTGTGTCAATTTTTATATATGAAATTCTCAAATCAACCTTTTTTGAGAATATGGGATTTTGATAAAGATGAAATTGCATGTCCAAATATTAATTTCTTCTCTAATTTCAAATTACAAAATGAAATCGCATGTCGAAATACCCTAGTCTGAGAACTCATATACGTTGGAGGGGTTATCAGGAATGACACTGGTGATCTCATTATGGCTTTCTCAGTCCCAACTCAATGTAAAAGCAACAATCAGGCAGAAGAAATGGCAGCACTCTATGCAATAGAATGGTGTGATCGACCTTGATACGACAAATACGATCTGGAGTTGGACTCAATGATGATTACAGATCTTATGTATTCTAGTGATGCTGGAAGGGACAGTAGAATTTACAGTGAAAAGAAAAATAGATGTAGAGTTGTTGTTAAGATTTTTAGGTGCCACACAGGATAGGAGCTCAATAAGGAGTCACAAAAATTTGTTTTTTGATAACTTGGAAAACAAATGGATTTATTTACATAAACACTACAAGTACTTGCATCACTTATAATACAAAAAGAAAACTTCCCTCCTTTTGCCATACTCTCCCTAGTGTAAACATACTTAATCAAAAAGAACACACTTTTGCCAAAGAATATTACTTAATATATATATATATACGTATATAGACACTCGTTTCGTGCATAAGGGTCTCAATTTTGAGGATGAAATAAGTTTGATCCCGCGATATGTGGAGTCTTCAAGCCTGAAATAGCAAGTAAAGGAAGTTAGACAATATTAGCTTATTTCGAGTAAGTTGTATAGACCATATTTGAGTAGACTTGCCTGAGCTAAGGGGATCATTGGTCGTGCAGTTTCGGAGATGGTCTTCTTTTTGAGTTGGTTAGGTAAGGGAAGCTGTGTAGGCCTAGATGGACCTGCACCAGTAGCTTCAGTAGAAGTTGTTCCTTGTGATTCTTGTACTGCCTGTGTCAGTATCTCAACCACTTCGCTCATTTTTGGTCGCTCTTTGGCGTTCTTGTTTAAGCAGCTATCAGCCAGTTTAGCAATTCTCTTAGCAGCAATAATTGAGAAGTCGTTTCGAAGCCTCGAGTCAATTATCATGCTAAATCTTCTACTATCAGCAGGAAATTGTTTTACCCAATCAAGAAGTTTCTGCTCGTTCACAGGACGGCTCCTTTCCAAAGTTCGCCTGCCTGAGAGGATCTCATAGAGGACAACTCCAAAGCTCCATACATCACTCTTAACTGATAGATGTCCAGTTTCCACATATTCAGGGGCAGCATATCCTAAAGTCCCCACCGGCTAAGAACAAAGAGTTACGTATTAACAATCAGGCCATGAGAATTGAAGTCTAAAGCATGCCTAACCTGCGCAATTCAGGGCCTAAAAATGACTGTAAAGATAAACTAGCTAGTAAAGTAATAAAGCACGTGGTTAACATAAATAGCTAGAGAACAATGAAAACAAACAGCATGGTAACTTGAGACTGGAAAGAGGTATATGATGGCTCATCTAAGCGAGAAGCTAATTTGTTCAGACTCGTTTGTGGATTCGATAAGGGTGTGGATCCAGGAATCGGATCCTTCATGATATAAATCTTAAGATTTATGGGTGTGGATCCAAGTTTAGATACAGGGGTGGGAATGAGGCTAAAAATTAGAGTTATATGTCTAAATTGTGAGATATTGTGTGGAAAACTTACAAGGTGTCCGAAGAAAAAATATTGATTAAGACTAGAATCCCCAAAGGTGATACAAGCAAAAGGACTGACATAGAAATTTCTCTATACAAGGTACTCCATTTTCTTCAATTTCGTCTTAGTTTTGTCTTGATTACAGAAATCATTGTATCTATCCACAAATTTCTCTGTTGATTTTAGTAAAAGTACCCATAGTAGATTGACCAAATCAGGTACAGATCCCACACCTACGTCGTGTCGACACGGATGAGACACTGAAAGTGAAAAGTCCGAGCAACTTAGGTGAGAAGAAGACATAAAAAGGCAGTCCCTTCAAGTATTAGCCAAAAAGGCAGGTATATCTCAAATGTACAGACTTTGGCATAAAAACCCCCTACCACACCCTCTTTTCTAGGGAAGTCCACTACAAAAATTCAGCATCCATGCAAAACAAACATTATCATCACTTACCGCTGTAGACACATGAGAGCGGTCACCAGCTGGCCCTTCCCTTGCAAGCCCAAAATCTGAAAGCCTTGCACAAAAATTCTCATCCAGTAGCACATTTGATGACTTGAAATCTCGATATATCACCTTCAGTTTTAACCAAAAAGTATTCATTAAGAAAGGAAATGAAAGAAAAAGTTCAAGAGTTCTGTATAGAGATAGAAAGAAGAAAGGTGTTTTTACGAGCACAAAATGTTTTTAGCTTTATTGGTGTTAATTATGATTAAACATGCTACCTCTTGTCAACCACGTCAACTCGTTTAATCTCTCTTGGCTTCAGAACTTAGTTGGAAATACTGATAAATGTGAATTAACCAAGTTTATTTGTAACATTTTGCCAGAAAATGGAACGAGTATATACCAAATTTCTTAATAATTTAAAGAAGGCAAAGCATGTCGACTAACCCCTGACAACACACTGCTACAAATTCATCAACTTGATTAAATGGAAAAAAAACGTAACTAGAAAGCTTGATAAACAAGTCTATTATATATCTAATTGTCAGCTGGATTTCTTTTGGCATTTGAAATTAAGGATGTGACTCTGTTAACAAAGTCAGACGATATGTGTTTTCTATGTCATAAGCACAAAATCAATTGTAACCTGATTAGCAGAATTTGAAGTGCCAATCATTTTATCTGAGTAGTTAAGCATACCTGGACTTCTAGTCCCTCGTGCAGATAAGCCATCCCTTGTGCGGCACCAAGGATAATTTTTAATCTTGTTCTCCAAGGAACTACAGGTACGGCTTTGTTGAACAGATGATCCTCTAAGCTCCTATTTTGCATGTATTCGTAAACCAACAGGCGCTGAATCCCTCTTTCGCCATCTGTAGCGCAATATCCCAGAAGTTTAACAAGATTAGGGTGCTCCAACACACCGAGGAATTGAACTTCTGCAATCCATTGTCGGTGGCCCTGCATAGTATATGAAGAATTAGCAACATCTATTGTCAGAGCCACAGACAAACCAACAAAGAATTGAGACGTCATAACATATAGAGAGGACAGTGAGCTTATACAACCAAACAGAAGTGGACGTTGAACTCTTTAATTCATTAAACTCATTCAACATATGTGACAAGTAAAATAGAGCAGATAACCAGTAACAAAAGAAAATGTGCTTCCTAAACTCTAAACCTGTGGGAATCACAGTGGCTTTGAATCTCAATAGGCTTAGTACATAAAAAGAAGATGTAAAGAGGAACAAAGTTAATCAATTATGGAATTCAACGTATCAATTATGGAAACATGGAGAAAAGAAGCAAGAAAGGCAACATGTGCTGCTAGCTCAATTGACGGGAGCCTGCTTATATTCATCACAACACCTACAACCAATACTAACATGGCACTGCCTTCATTTTGAAAGAGATTGCAACTATCTGGCCCCGAAATAAGCTTAGCTAGTGAGTCTACCATTTGCCATTCTATATTTGTCAAGCATTTCTCATGCATAACAAAATTTAATTCACATTAAAATGCATATGCAAATAGTTTTTCCAAGATTCCAATCCAAATTTAGATAACATATGCCACTGCACATTCTGTTTTACGCAGACACAAATACAACTTATCTCAATCACTTCTGATTCCAATTACATTTTACCTCTTCACATCAAATCTCTAAATTGCAACATTTAACAAGATTGTTCTTACAAAAAGCAAGAAACTTAACAGCAAAGTGAGTTCAACATCTACTATATACACTTTAAATATAACTTGAACCATGTATCAACAGTGTAATGGGGTTAAGCCCTACCATGCTTCGCCCCTGCTCGTATCGAATATGAACCGATACATACACCATAGATCAAAGGAAAAGTTTATACCTGCAATCCAAGTGTATTGAGTTTCTTAACAGCAACCACAACAGGATCACCCTTTCCATTAGAAGGCTGAATTGAACCTTTATACACACTCCCAAAACCACCTTCCCCAATCTTTAGCAATCTATTGAAATTCCTTGTAGCCTCCTTAAGCTCAGAGAGAGTAAAAACCCTCAAATTTTGCTCTCTTTCTCTATACATTTCCGGTATACTTCGAGGAGATGAAACTGAACCTGTAGACCTAGTTACCCTATTTCCTTCTGAATTACCATTTCTCCTACTTTCATTACTCAATTCTGGTGCTGATTCCCCTCTCCTACGAGACCTCGATTTATCTTTGAATATATAAAAACACTTCAGCATTTTGCTTAAAGCTTGAAAATTTCAACACCCCAATAGGGTTTTAAAAAAAAAAAGTTTTGTTTTTCTTTAAGCTTCTGCTACTCTTATCAAGTCAATAACTCGGGAAAGACAAAAATTGATGATAAATAGTGAAAAGATACCAACTTTCTGCAGCTGAAAAAGGAACAAAACTAGAACAAAGCAAAGAAAAATGAAAATATGTGTGGAAGGAACAGAGAAAAGTCAATCAAAAAGTGGGAACTGGTAGCTTTTACACCAAAAAGGGGACAAAATTTCAAGTGGGTATCAGTAAAAAAGCAAGAAAACTCAAAAACCAGAGAAACCCATATGAGAAAACAGAAGAAAAACAAGAAAAGCTCAAAAACCCACTTCAGAATTGTAAAGATTAAGCAATATATATTGAAATAAACTGTAAAAAAACAAGAATTTTGCAGCTGTATAAGTAGTCAAATGTTGAAAATGGTTTAAAGAAGCGTCACATAAGCATGTAAAGATTATAGAGAGAGAGAGCGTGTTAACGTGTATGAAAGGAAAAGGAGTAAGGAAAGACAAAACTTGAGAAGACTACAAAAATATCGATGTGCTATTGAAGACGATGATGACCAAGAAATTATGGAGAAATGAAATCAACCTATTCTTTTAGAGCCTTGTTTGGTTTTAAAATAAGTTATATCGCGATATAATTATTACGTCGAGTTTATTCTAATCCAAACATAAGATGAATTCATTTTAAAATTAAACGAGTTCTTGATATAGTACTAATATAAATCTTTCTTTAAAGGATCGTTTGGTCTATAGGTAACGTATAAATTATTTTTGTCGGATGTCTAGTTTGTTTCAAATATCTATTGATTGTGTCAATAACTTTTTTTCTTTTTTTAAGGTTTAAAGAATTTATAATGAATCTACTGATTTTTATCGTTTTCGTTATTATTGTTGGATTAGTAATCTGGGTTGCTTCTAGTGGACTTGAAGTTGGTCAATAGATTATGTCGGTCAAGTTGTAGAGGATATTGCGAGACACCTTAAAACAGAAAGTGAAAATATGAGATATTTTTGTTGCGTAATTAAATTTTTATGACAATTTTATCAATTTATGAACTGATTATAGCGTTAACAAAATTATATTTGGATATGCATAACACTTTGGAAAATAAGTTCAAATTTTGTAGAGTTTGGGGGGGGAAATCACCTATCGAAATCAGCTTTTCCTATTTAAATATTAACCAAAGCATTATTCTAATATATAATGTAATTTATTTGGAAAAAAGAAGAACCCATATCCAAACAGGTCCTAATATTTTTTTTATTTAATTGTACTATGATTGCTATTATTTTTTTTAAAAAAAAAAGGTACTGAGTAGGGGAAAAAAAAGTTTTCTTGTGTACTTTTTTTTCTTTTAGAAAAAAATTATTTTCTTGCTGGTTGTCTGAAGAGGATTTCTTGGATAATTCATAATAAAAGTGGACCAATATTTGATAATGATGTTTGTATGATTTTAAAATTAAAAATATTTGACGAGAAAATGTCAAATACAGCGTGTTTATGTTTTCCACAGCTTATTTTTAATTTAATAAACATTTTTTATTATTATTTTCAAATAAAAAATAGTGTTGTTTTTGCAATTGAAAATTCCATTAATTTCTTTTTTGTTTTTTTTTCCCTCTGATAATGAAATTTCTAAAACAGTTAAAAGACCGTTGAACGCGTTTTGGCGCGAGTCCATGTCTCGAGGCTTCATAAGGGAAAGATTAGTATATTAAGTAAGACACGGAGAATTTTTGTTTCGCATCGATAATCGTATTATATTATAGAATTAAAGTTTAACTATTTTGGATTTTTATTGCGTAGGGCCTTATTCAAGAGAAATACTTTCTATCGAGGATTTTTTCATAATTAAGTTTAAATTTAAAACTCTAGTTAAGGAAGTAGCAGTCTCATCTAATAACCAGTGGGCGGAAAAATACAATGAGGAATTACTAATAAAGGAGTTTGAAATCTTGATATTTTTAAATAAAACTGATTTGAGAATTAAAAGTACCGATACGTAGGAGTGGACATCATACGGTAGATATTGAATTATAATATCAAATAAAAAAACTTTATTCCGCTATATCAGTATTCTAATATTTGAAATGAATATAAAATAATTTTGATACTCCATGTACGATATTCAATATTTTATTTATTTTTCAAAAAGAAAAAAACTGAAATATTGAATATCATATCAAAGTATTAGAAGTTATGCGCCAACATAGGTTATGGTACAGTGATGTGACTGTTTCATCCTAAACTAGAGGACTGGTTCTTGTTGGGAGTCCACCCCTGAATGGGTCCTACAATGTGCAATGCAAATTTAATCGAAATTTTAATATTATAAGTTATCGACATTGAAATGGAAATCAAAAAACAATAGAAGCTATATAATTTATATATATATATATATATATATATATATATATATATATATATATATATATATATATATATATATTGTAATAAGCTAAGAGCAAATATATAAAATAGTTTACTTCGACATGTGTAGATAATTTCCTATTATATGAATACATAAGTAAATTAAAATCGAACAAATTATAATTTTCAATTTCTCATACTTAAAAATATCAAAATTAATTTATAAATTTATATATTATACTATATTAATTCGATAGGAATAATAGCATAGTATTTTTATAAATTAAATTAATCGAAGTTGTTAATACCATGTCATGTTCACCCCTACAAATAGATAGTTAGGTTTTGAAAAGTCGGTGTCCAATAATAAAACTACTACAATTAGGTGTCTGACTTAAATGCCCTCGAAGGACTACGTAAGACAAAAACAACCAATGTAAAAGAGAGTTGTGAAGTGTTTGAATCATCCTCGAGATTTCAGGTTCGAGTTTCTTGTACATAAAATCGTATTTTATCTTTTAATATGAGATCTTTTATATAAATTCGAATTAAATCTGATTTTAATATGGATATCAGAATGAAAAATTAAAAAAAAATAGCAAAAGGTTGAATAATTCAAATTCATTCAAATATTATAAAGTCCATTTTTGAAGTGTTCAAAATTCGAATTTATAATTTTTAATTAAAAGCGAAAAACCTCAATTATTTTATCGTAACATAGTATTGAATTTGCATGTGTTTCTTATGGGTTTAGAGGTTTAAAAGTTTTAAAATCTATCTCCATGATTATCTAATTAAATATTGTACCATATTCTTTTTTTTACCAAAAAAAGAAAAGTAGGTTTTATGATCTTTCCTTGTAGAATATTTGTTCAAATTGGATTAGCTTTCGGCTAATTCATATCATTAAAATTGTGTTCAAATTGGATTTTCCAATCCCTTTTTTTAATTTGATAAATTATTCACGCAAGATATTTTATCGAGTTAATTTTATATTTTTATTTCCAATCTTTTTATTTAATTTGATAAATTATTCATACAAGATATTTTATCGAGTTAAATTTATATTTTTATTTATGAAAAGTATAAAACATTTCAAATAAATTATGTTTAAAAGCTGGATTAAATAGATTATATTCTAACGATCTGAAGTGGAGTGCGATAACAATATTTAAATTGAAAATAGTAATCAAAAGTGTAAAATATATATATATGATCTCATTAATTATTGGGGGCTGGGTATTTTTATATAATTATATATATGTGTATATATTTTGTAATTTATTCAACAAAAATATTATGAATTTGACCTATTTTTGACTTGACTTGGGTTTTGCTTCTATCTTCCCTAGTTCCACTAATAAGGTTGGCAACTACAACACTATCTGGTGTTCGAGTAGTAAATACTTATAAATTTTTAATTAAATATTTCGAGTTTAAATTATAGAATAAAATTATATTTCGTAAAATATATTTGATCTCAAAATTAAATTGATTAATATTAAAAATAAATATCAAATCAAAAGGCAATTCCAACACTATCAATTTTATTTAAGCACAAAACTTATCTAGTCTACCAATTATGAAAATTGGCATTGAATTTATTTTATCCCAACTACTAATAATGAGCTGTTATTACTTGTTTTATTTTATTTTATTTTTCATATGTCAACATTAATTAAACTCATATACCAACTAATAATTTTAAGTTTTCAACCTTTGGCTCAACTTTGGTAAATAAAAATTACAATATTGAACCAAGATACTTTTATCACTCTCGCTTTTTCTTCATCTATTCGATATTCGAAATTCACTGATTAATATTAATATATATTAAATAAATCAGTTAAAACTTAAAAATATCAAGAGATTTTCATTTCCTAAAAGATAACATATATTTTATGTAATATATTAAATTATCATACTTTTTTCAGTATGTTTTTACAAAAATTACATTTTAATTTATGAGAATCAATTTAACTAATTCAGAACAAAAATTAAATTAAATTACTTTAATATTTTCAAGTTTTTTAAAAAAATTACGAAATATATTGTACATTATAATTTTTTTATATTAATACGATAAAAAATCAAAAATTCATAAAAAATAAAATATGATAAAATAAAAATGAGCTTAAAAATTCTACATAGGATGCTGAGGTAATCACTTACATATACCAAAAAAAAAAAAATCATTGTACATTAACTCTATGAATTCAGCTCTACATGACTAAAATTAATGCTTACAGAGACTTAATGAGTGTACATTCCACCACCTTTAAATGTTGGGATCACTAACAATAATATACTCTGTTTATTTTTATATGTCACATTTTTTAGAAAGTTAAATTATATTAGATTTATTTATTTTATTTTATTTTATATTTTATCTCTTTTTATAAATAGTTGAACCACAATATTTGTTATTTTATAACATTTATGTATAAATTATCATATTTTGCTTATTATATTCTAGATAAATTAGTCTATGAATCTTGAAAATGTATTTATCATTAATTATAAAGTTGATTTAAGAAAAACATTAAGTAAGAGTAAAAAGGTAAAGTTACATCATTTTTTACTACAAGTGCAAAGTAAAAATGTGAGATAAAATGAGACGACGGGAGTAATTAGTATTTTAAGATGTAGAACTTCCTTCATTTCAAATTAATTGAATTGTTGAGGTGTTTCACACTCTATGAGAAAAGAAGATTAAGACAGAAATAAAAAACATAACTTTTTATTTTTGCCCTTATTAAATATTGCCAAATTTATGATGAAATAACTTGAATTAATTAATAACTAATTTCAATACTAATTAATGAAATGTAGAACTGAAAAAACATTCTAAAAATAATCTTAAAAGTTAAACAATTAAGTTAATTTAAAAAATAAAAAATATCTTAACAATTCAATTAATTTATATAGTATCTCTCATATACTTTTCGACATCAAACATTTTTATATTTTTCATATTAAATAAATTTAACTTTAAAAACGTGCAAAGGGAGTAATATAGTATGAAATAAAATTTCGTCCTCAATTTCTGTTTCCACCTGTTTATGAAATGGAAAATTTTGTCACAGCAAATTTGGTCAAACTTTTACATGTAAAATTAATTTTAGTGTAATGATATGATACCATATGTTCACCTAAAATTAATGCAAATTTCTATACTACTTGTATATTCCATTTACTAGGAAATAAAAAATTGAGTTATTATTATACTATTGCTTTTGCTGTTTAAAGATATTAAAATTTTAACTAAATACATTGTTTATAAAGGATTGCGGCAAAAAAAAAAAAGATTTTTTAAAATAAAGTAAAATAAAATAAATAAATTAAAACAAAAAAAAAGAATTTAATTAATTATAGAACCATTTATTTAGTGTTTATATGTGGAATGATAGTGAGACATAAAACTTTAGGACTGCCCTTTGACCTATTAAGTTAACTGGTAAACAGTCTGCTGATTTGGTTGATCTTTTCTTTTCACTTTTTCACTAAAATACGAAATACTATGTCAATTTATGTATTTATATTTAATTATAATATAATTTTTCAACGAACGTTTTAAATCAAGATAGGTCTGCTACTGTTCAGAATAGAATGGATAAAGTTTATACGCAGACCTTGCCCTACTTCAAAAAGATCAAAAGATGGTTTGGCATCAGACCAAGTTTTTAAATAATTGTTTAATATATAAATTTAATTTTCAATATTTTTACATTAAATTTGGATGGGGGTCATAGCAATCATTATTGTGACTATGTTTTGTCAAATTTCCACTTTTCAAAGATAGCATTTCTGTGATTGATCACAAAAAAGGGGGAAAAGGCAATACAGCAGAACTAGTCTAATTTGACAAACACACTAAGTTGGAAAAGCACTCAACAAAAGCCTAATATATTTTCAAATTATTTTCCACTAAAGCTTTGTCAAATAGTATCTTGCTAGTGATTAGCATCAACTTGTTGGAATAATAAGCAATAAGTAAAAGAGGTTTATAAGTATGATAAAATTAATGATGCTATTATACAATACTGGTCTATGCACAAATCAACCAGTGCCAAAGCTTGGTTTGTGTAGTTCAAATTTTCCTCAATGAAAAAGTTCCAGTTATCTAGAATTAAAGATAATAATCATACAAACAAATATCATATGAATCTATCTCATTAAACATCACAAAGAATGGAAAACTATCATTACCAGAGAGAAGATGGGAGACTCTTCTTTCTGAATTAGGCATTCTCCTTCATCCCCTGCCTTGCTCTTGCTGCTCGGTCACTCTCTGTTCTCAAGTCAAAAACCAAGTAAATCCGCTGTGGGAAGTAGATAATACATTATCCTTGTCAATATGGTTGGCTTCAATATTTCAGTAAGGATAAGCAAGTAACCGTCGACTGGGTGCTGGAGGGGCTAATCCAGGGATGTCCCGGATGTCTTTGTTATGTGGGTTTACAATCTGCAAATCCAAAAGTTAACGTAGTTTTAGCCTCAAGATATGTCATTGCACCAAATACCAATGATAAAGCCTTACGAAGAAGTGCAAAAGTGGGTTCCATTAAATGGTACATCTCCAATTCTGAAGTCTCTACAAACTGACGCCTTTAATTTCTATCACTATCATTGCTCCTACTAACGCGGACTAAAGTTGAAAGTCGTCTCTTTTATAAAGACCCTTCGGAAACACACTACTAACAAAAGAATGGTAATGCTGGCATTCATGACAAAATAATGGAAATGCAAGTTGCTTGCATAAAACTATTCATTGGAATTTCCATAATTATCATGTATCTCCTATTCAAAGATCAGCTACCCACCTTTAGCTGCACTTTCCCATGTGCTCCTGTGACTTTTATATACAGAACTTCAGAATTGGACTAGCTAGTGAAGCACTAACATTGGATGTATAAGAAAAGTCTTTGTTAGGATAACTAGCAATAGCAACTTTAGGGGGAAAACTAGAAGTTTAATTATGCTATGCTAGACTCTTCATATGCTATAGTTAATGCGCTGAAGTACCTCGAATGATAGTTTGAAGTAGGCCATTAGGCTCTCTAATAGTTTTCTGGTTAAAAGGTACAAGAATTGTACCATGAAATGCTAGATGGCATAGACAAATGGAGCAACAAATGTAATTTACAGTAAGTATTGTACTAACATTGTCAAGTACAAGACCGCTACAGTAGAGCAAATTGGGTGAATTTGTAGGTGGCAAACTAAGTACGATTGATAAAATCCAAAATGATGCTTGGATACAGTTCACTAGCAAAAAATAATATTTGATAAATAATACTTACGTGAGGACTGAGGAATGCTAAAGGTAATGAAAAACAAATGCATTTGGTAACACTACACAAGAAGGGGAAAGACATCTGACCTTCACAATAATGATTGCTATGACCCCAATCACAATCAGAAAGAGCAAGGCCATAATACAACGATCAGTGGCAACCTAAAGAATGGTCTTATTTAGAGACACAAGATGACATAAAAAGAAAAGGTAATGATAGAGGGATTGTACAATTTAGAAATTGACCTGCCTACCGAGTTCCTTGACCAATTGTGTAGCCTTCTTTATTGAAAAATGGATTGAGTCTAGCTCATTGACTATCCGACTCATTTGTTCAGTCTGGGCAAGCAGGAAAATATAAGACATAGGACAAAGCAAGGGCAACAACTGAATGTAAAATCACAGTCTTGCATCAAAACCATGTCAGTTTTCTCCAAATAATATACCTGAGCCTTCAGTGCTGCAGCAGTCTCGGTTCCAACATTTACAGTTTCATGAACCACCTGTGGAGAAAAGAGCATGTAAAGCCATTCTACTGAATAGTGAAGCAAGTAAAAAACCTAGTTCACAGGAGACACTTCTCAAATGGCATCATATGCCATGCTTTAACTAGCTCCTAATAGGTTAATACCAATGAGCATTATGCACAAAAGCAACCGTCTCTATTTAATCAACTGTCTAAGATACCATAGAACTTCAGTGCTCATTTAGTGGTTTCGAATCCAATTGATGAAATATTGAGCCTTTGTTTCGGAACCTTAATAACAACATTTTACTTACAACAACAAAGTCCATCATTATAACAGCATATTCTTGGTAAAATTACTCCTCTATAACAGTCTTAATTAGTAATTGATTTTAATTTGCAATTATCCACTTTTGTTGCCAGACATTTATTTTCATAATAAAAAAGCACTACTAATGTTTTTCTCCATTATGTTCAGCATTCACAACTGTATCTTCTTTTCCATACTTGATTTTATTATTATACTTTGTTTGAGCCGAAAGTCTATCAGAAACAGTCACTCTACCTTCACAAGGTAAGGGAGTAAGGTTACACAGACCTCCGCAAACCCAACTTGTGGGATTACACTCGTTTGATTCATATTTCATTTACTCCTTTTGCTATGATTGATACTGAATCGATATTATAGTCAACCTTAGCTTGGGAATCCATTAGTCCAAAACATTCACAGAAAAAGCAAATGATAGCATTCCATGAAGTATGATATTGCAATGAGTAAAAAATGATGTTAGAGATGATGCCCTTTTTGGGTATCAAACCAAATCTCGGCTAAGTTCCAGTCTAAGTTCCCAATTGAGTGATATGAATCTCGACCGTCCTATCTTTTAACCAACTTTAATCCCACAATGGATTTGCACTTTACCAAATACAGAACAAGCCAGGTCCGACTCAATCGTGATTAGAACTCCCAAGACACTATCATATAACAACAATCTCCAAACTGAAAAATGGAAATAAAATGAAAAGAAACAAAATGTTTCTCATCTAAAAGGTACCGACGCATTTGAAGCAAGGACCACAAGAATGCTTCATTCCTTTATCGTAGATGTTTCACTTCTTCATCGTATAATTTGTTTAGTTTGGAAATGGCGGGAAGGGCAACTAAAATCATCATGAACCAACTGGTGATATAGTTTGAGATTCATCTTAGCAATACAAAAAATCAAATGAACAATATACCAACCTTTTTTGACCTCTCAATGGCTTCATCTGTCTCATCCATCATCCTATTTCCTTGATCCATCAGCTGTTGATTGCTCATATCTGCAATGTTATATCAGCACTCAGAATTTTATATAGGAATAACTGCTTTGAAAATTATTTTAAAACATATGTATAAGGAATAATCAAAAATCAATGAGGTCAAAGTTCCATCGCAAGTTGTCAAAAAATGTGGTGTGTATGTATATGTGGAAATAAAAAAAATAGTCATTATATCAGATTGCATTGCGACAACATACACGACAACCTAATCTCTACTTTCAGATTTGTCTTAAATAGTTCCGAACATCTGAACCAGACAAAAGAATGTCACTCTGAATCACACCCCTCTTGACCATAATTTTCATTTCATTAGCTTTGGAATTTAATTGTGCTTCCCATACAAATATCACGTATATAGAGGATGCCTCTTTGATTACAGCCTTCCGATCACCACTATGTAATTTGACTTGTGGCAATTCAAAAACTGAAGGTTAAATCGTACATTGGTTTAATGGTGAGGAAGATGAGGCATCAATAACTTTCATTTTGAATCTTAGTAAGTGATCAGAGTTGTCTACTGTAACTTTAGTTTTGACACTAACCATAAGCCCAAATAATGACCATAGAAGAATTTCATTTCTAATAGTTTGAGTTATGAGACATTTTCAGCAATTGTAGAAAGACGCATATTATAATTTGGAATTATGCAAAGTAAAAGTAATCTTCTAAACTGTGTATCAATCTCAACCAGTACCTACCAGGAAGAACTGGTATTCTTTTAAAACAGCTTCCACTACCCCACTCAACCAACAAATAACAGAAAAGAAACCTCAAAACCAGCTCTTCAGCTCAGAAACGAGTGAGAACAATAAAAAAAGATAGGACTACTAATCATCAGATGAGAGCCAAGAAGAAATACATCATATATCAGTCCAAAAGAAAGCATTATATATGTCAAAACTCAAAATGCAGCACAAAAGAAGAGAATGATAAGAGACAAATGAAGGATGAATACAATTAAAAATGCAAAAGTGAAAGATCTGCTTACTTGAAGCTAGCAAGCCATTCTCTTCAGCAAACCCTTCACCGGGACCCTCAAAAAGATCTACTCGCTTGTTCTCAATATTGCTTGCGTATCTAGAGAATCACATACATAATAATTAAGTCTACAATACATAGCAATAAGAGAAACAATATACAACAAAACCAAAAAATTGGAGTTTCTTCTTCGTCTATACAAACATAAGTTCTAGTTCACTTTATCAATAAAGAAAAATATAAGTGCTGCTTCTGTATGCTCATAGGGAAAACACTGTCTTAGTGTGTCTCATATGGAGGAAAACATTTTCATTCCAATACAAGTTTCATAAAAATGAGAAAAATGGCTTCCCTAGTTAAAGTAGGAAAAACAAGTTCCATATGTGACATTCCAGTTTCATTGTCTCCTCCCCACCCCAACCCACTCTCATAGTGTTTTGCTAGATTACATATAAATGCTTGTGGAATAGTATTTTTTAGCTTACTTACCTAACACTAGAAAATAAGTAAGAAATTCACTTGCTTTCCAAGAAAGTATTTTCTAGGAAAACTGTTTTCCATGGAAAGCATTTTCTTTTGTTCAAACATCTTTTGTTCAAACACACCCTTAATCTTTATTCTTTAACCCCACTTGAGTAGTAATACTTAGCAGTAAAAACTATAATCTTAGACCTCTATGCTAATTTCAGCCTCTAGGCCCTCACCAAATTCACCTACCTAGAAAACTGAAGACTAACTATTAACATGAATTATCCAAGTCATGAAACAGAATTTATTGTCAAAATCTTCAACTAGTATCACAATCTAAGGAGTATATTGAGTTTGAATAACTCATCAATAAGCTGGAAACCTTGTATGATGTCCAAATCAGGAACCTCATGCGAATATACAAGTGACATGCTATGTTCTTATCAGTTGTTAAATTTAATGATTCTAACTCTGCTGCATACTCCTTGTTTCATTTGTGCGCATGAAGTCTTGAGGGAAGAAAAATTCGTTTTTGTAGCCTTGCAGGCACATCCAAGGATATACTGTTTAAAGTGTTGCATCCACTTTCACCAGCATTACAGTCTAACATCTAATCAAGCTGTCCTGGATGTAAGGAACTGCAATACGACTTTTTGGGGAAGTAGAAGGGACCTTTCAATTTCTACAAGGCCAAGCTAACAATATAAAATCTGAAAGGCAGTCCCATGGTGAGAATGAGAAGACTCGTATATTGTAATTTGTAAAGGAGCTAACAAACAACTAACTCTGGAACAAAAGAAGTACATATAATTCTTCTGTGCCAAGATATTTGAAGCAATCATATATTTTGATTGATGAATCATTAAAAAAAGTAGATCAGTTCAAAAACCAACTGACTAATAAAACGAAGCAGAAAATGTGTAAAGCTAACCAATAAAACTTACTGTTTTTTCAGAGCAACATAAGAGTTCAACTCTTTGATCTGCAAAGGAAGATGAGAAAAGAAAAGATCAGTTCAGAAAAAAGTAGATACATTCAATGTGTCATCAACAATATAGAAAAGCTTCCCAGTGAACCTGACCATTGATTGTTTTTTCTCACTCAGCATCTTGGTGGTATCTGCGTCACTTTTATATTCCAAATCCTTTACTTCTCTGTCAAATTCCTTGATAAGCCTGTCAAAGTAATTACTCATCATTGCATGTCCAATTAGTTCTCTGTCAGTGCATGGTTGTATACCAATATAGTTCAATTACCAGAATATTCAAGGAAAAACAAAGGGAGACGCAACTAACGGTTCTCCAACTTCCTACATCAGCTAAAACCCTCATAGATCTTTTAACTTTTGCAAAGGTGGGAGCTCCTACGAGGAGGGGGTAAAAAAGAAAAAGTGGAATATGGTATTAAACTACAATACTTTGCCATTTACTGGAACGTGACAAAATTCCTGACAGGTATTTTTTGTTTCTTTTAAGTTCAAAATATGTATCGTTTGGACAAAATTCGAACTGCAATCCACTCGACCTGCTTGAGCTTCACATTGTAGATGAGCATACATTACCCATTCAATGCCAGCTCGAACAAAGGACGGGTCTGGAGGTTGACCAGGCAGAGTAAAACTAGTCAATTAATGAAAAAAAATTCACATATTGAAGTGAAATGGATATGGAGGACTCTTACAGCCAATCCCAGCAAGTAAGCACCTTTATTGACAATTTCTTTTTCTAAATTCCTATTCATGAAAGCAAAAAGATCAAATTTTTCTTCTACATCCAAACAAAGTTCACCATTTTCTATTCTTGCAGAAAATGCAAATGCAGATTGCAAAATTAAACCCATTGATAAATCACCAAAAGGGATCTGCCATGAATACCTCTTACATTCTCGCATCTTTCCTGTTAGCTCCTCCAACTGCCTGCTCTGCCTATTCGAATCCTTAATCTTCTCCAATTTCTGAAACCCATTTCTAGAAACACAATACAAATACCCAAACAAACAAAAAAATCCACATCAATCAACACTTATGATACATTTTTTTTCCTGAAATTGGATAAACACAACAAAAAATTGCTTACGAAAGAGCTCGAAAAATATCCGAAATCTGTCCTTCGATTTCCCCAAGCTCCTCGCTAAGGCCAGACAACGACGCCATTCCTCAATGTAATTAGCAACAAAATCACAACCAATGCCGATCCTCAAAACATCGCAAAAAACTAACGAAATTGATAATCAGATCGGAAAAATTTCACGAATTTGAAACTTTCCGTTATTCCAAATTCGATTACCACACAATGCAGATTCAAAATCGGATCAAAAAAAATGATCGGATCTGATTGTGGATCTGATGAAAGTTGAGATTATAGGGTTTGAAAAAATTTGAATTTTTGATTATTATTACAGAGAAGAAATGAGAAGGCCACCATGTATGAGCTGTTCTCGTGATTTTGCAGGCATTTTTTTTTTCAATATTTTTTATATATTTTTTTGAGAATTTAAAAGCTTGAGCGTTTTGGAGGGGTTTTTGAAGAAGGTTTTTTAATTAAAAGGAAAATAGAAATGGTAATTACTATTAATTAGTGTAATTAATTAGTACACTAATTTATATTTATAGCAATATTAATGTTAACCGATGTTTTAGGACGTTCAGTTTAGGGGTTTGTCTGAAAATGATTGGTGGGGTCCATCATATGTTTACTTTGATGCAAATTTTCAGGTAGTTGTATGTATTTAATTAAATTGTTGCACTATCAAAGAATTTGATGCGCCGGATGAAATTATTTTCATTTTAACAAGAAGTGTTTTTTTGGGAATATAAAATTATATGTCGTACAAAGCTAGATATAATTGAGCTTTAATATGAACATTGAATATTATATAGAATTTTTTTTAAAAAAAAAAAGAAAATGAATCCAGATATAATCGAGTTTCAATGTAAATATCTAGGGGCGGACTCACCCTATATTGCGGGGGTACACGTGCATCCGGTAACTTTCGAAAAAATCATATGTATATATATATATTTATTTTGAAAAACTGGTAGAAACTAAGTTATAGATAACAGTGCCCCATAAAAAATATAAAAATGCTCTTGTGCAATTGGTAGAAGGTAGAGACACCGCCCTTTAGATCAGAGTTTGAATCTCACTTAAGCCTATTTTTATTTTATGTTTATATTGATACACCCAAACCCTTTAAATCTTAAATTCACCTCTCTAAATACCAAATATCAATAAAAAACTAAAAAGTTAACATATATTTTTCTGCTTAAATTTAAGATAGCCGATAAGTATATGGTGTTTATATCACTATAGATAAGTGTGGTGTAATATAAATCATCAACCATTAATGTAATGTGTAGTTTTTATATAGTAAATGAAGAACAATAATTATTAATCTGATCAATTATTTGTGTAAAGGTCTCTACTATTATTGTGATATAAAAGGAACAATCATGTAGAATAATAAATTTTTAGCCTGTGTAGTGTGCTATAGTTATTTATTGAAAAAGATAAAGTAATATAATTATAATTTTAAGAAATTGTAATATTTGATTACGGTTTTCAAATTTTTTTATATTCGTTTGATTTTTATAAATTTAAAATTCATATAATTTGATTTATAATTGTGTGAATTCAGAATTCTGTATATATATATATATCCTAGATATTTGTATACGATTTATGAAAAATTCATAATAAATTAACCTGTTTGTATATTGGCAAACGGAATATATAAATGAAGTTGTGAAAAATTACTAAATATATAATTTTTATATACTTACCTATATTTTCACAAACGTAATACACAAACAAATAAAAATAGATAAAACACAATCTCCATAGCAAATAAAATTATAAATATAATATGCAAAACACATTTGTATTAAAACTATAGTGATAGCTAGAACCTTATTATATTTGTTATGTCTGTTATCTTTGAATTTTTCTCGATATAAATATAATTTAATTAATACATAGACATGGGACATTAGGATCTATTTCGAATAGTATATAATTAGTTTTTCTTTTCCAATTGAACGTAGCGTTTTGGTTGGGGTTTATGTCTTTATCATACAATTTTCAAATGATTTTAGTTTCATCATTTGGTATAGAAGTCAATATAAAAGGAAGACTTGTTTATACACCAATAGAAAAAAAAAATAACTTTCAATCTTTGATGACTTCACGTCTTCATGTTAATTAATATTTATAAAATATATATCATGATGAGATAATAATGCATAGTTGATCACGTAATAAAAAAATTATGTAAATGATAATTGAAGTAACATATTCACATTTTATTTGTTTTTCTGTTCATACTAATTGCAACAAACATGTAGCATACATAACTATTTAATTGCTATTTTTAAAAAACGGATAAATATTTACTTGCTGTTGTTTTTAAAACTTTTCTTACGGACTTATGAATAAAACTATTACTAACTAAAACATATTTATGTATAAACAGGTCGCCTGTTCGAGCCCGAACAGGGTCACTAGAGGCATTACAAATCGGCTAGTCAGTCGGGCCAGTGAGTACAGCTAGTCAGATTTGCAAAGCGACACTCGAAAATCATGGCAAAAAAAATGAAATCTTAAAATTGATCTTATTTGTAATCAAGTTAAGCTGATTATGTTTAAATAAATAATCTTAAAATTACTCTTATTTATCTAATTAAGTCGAGCAAATTATATATAAACAAATAATCTTAAAATTGTGCTTATCTAATTGTAAGACACACGTTTAAGACTCATGTCAGTATGCGCCTTACAATGTGCATAATTTTTCAACCAACGATTTTAACAACATTCATCATTCCATCCAAATGTTGCCCTTTTAATTTTATCCTCAATTTTAATTGCCCTTTTAAAAATTTTGCTCAAATTTTTTCACCGTTTTTTACTCTGGACTAACAAATCAATTGTTAAAAATCTTTCACTATAATGAATAAAGAGAAAAGACATAATATCACTATTAAAATAGTTTTGAATTTTTAAAAAGACACTTTAACTTTGAAAACGTCCTATTACCCCACAAAAGCATTGAATATTTTTTTTAAAATGACCATTTTAACCCATTTTCTCATTATGTTTGAGAACACGCACATGATGCGCGTGAAGACCTATTTTTAATGCCAAAACCCAATTAAAAATTGCCACATCTAAGTTATTTTCTTTACTAATTATTTATTTCATTTCAATTCATCTTTTTCCCTACAAAAGAGTCAAGTACTCCATGTTAGAACTGATGAAATCAACTCAATAAGGTATGAATTAGTTTTAATTTCAATCCAAAAAGCTAGTTTCCCGAGGCTTCATTTCTTCTTAATTTCATTTATTTTTGAGAACCCAAAAATCAAACCAAACTCTCATTAGTTGTTTTTTCGGGAGGATCAACATCGACCTGGGACTTGCCAACTTCTGAACTTTGATCGGCAGCGTCATTGTCGGGGTCGCAAGATGTTTCCAAGACTTGTCCATGGAAGTTCACGTTTTATCAAGCTATGGTTTGACAACAAGCCCAATCGCCAGCCACTCAAAAGACATGGCTCCGAATACCATTACTATCGATTTCAACGAATTATCCTTCGTCATTGGAACCACAAGTAGAATTTCTGATATACATGCCGATGAGGGTCTAATTTGCAGCTGAATCGATTTGCCATTTTTACTATTCTAACATGTATTCTTCAGTTCATTGTGTACTCCACTAGTTTTCGAAGAAATTTAATCAACAAAGATCAAAATTGTAAGAGATGATCTTCAACAATGCTTATGATTGAAGAAAATGATGAGAGAAACTAAGGAATGAACAATGGAGAACAAGAGTTTTTTTTTTAAACGATTTGGGTTGGGTCAGGTTTGAAGAAATTAATTAAAATAAAATTCATAAAAAGAGTGAGCACCACACGTCTGTTTGCAGTAGAGAAAATGAGTTAAAATGGCTCTTTTACAAAGATATTCAATACTTTTATGGGGTAATAGGATGTGTTCGAAATTAATGTGTCTTTATAAAAATTCGAAACAACTTTAGGGTGACTTTATGTTTTTTCTCATGAATAAATAAATAAGGGTATTGATAGTGAAAAAAACATAAAGTAGTGGGACTTAAGTTTATAAAAATATATTTCTGTTTTAGTCCTTAATGAATCTTGAAATTGCATTAAACCCAATTCCTAAAACCTCAGAACTGTTCGTACTCTGCAGAGAGAAGCAAAAATTTGATCTTGCCGGAGAAGAAGACATTCATATCAATTCGATAAAGAAATATGCAGAAGGGTTTCACTCTCCTGCAGACAATTGGTATTTCAGGTGTATTTTCTGCTGTTTCTGGCTGGTAATTAACCACCTCTATACGTATCTTTTTCTATGTTAAAGAACGTTTTTTTCAGCTCAATTCATGTTAGATAAACTGTTTAATTTCATTAAGAAGTGAATTTGAAAAATGGGTTTTGTTTGGATTGACGAATTTGTTGTTGTTTATAGGTATGGGTTCATGTTTGGTAGAGAATCTGCTCGTAAAGAGCTTGGAGGTTTGATTGAAGATCTTCGAAATTCAAATTCTGAATCCGTTTCACCTACCCCTTCTCACTCTCAAGAGTAGCAGGTATTCTACCCCACCATCCTGGATATGTATTCACTCCGTCCCATTTTAGTTTAAGAAAGAAAATAGAGTATCACACTTTTGAAAATATGTGGTTTAAGAACATTTGTTTGATAAATCATTTTATTAAGGGTAAAAAAAAAGAAGAAGAAGGGATTTTTACAGTTAGATTGTTTCTAATTATAGAAAGGTGAGATGTTTTTGGGGTGAGGAGTATATGTTACGTACTTCTTCTTTATCCGAAAAGGAGGGGTTTGTATTAAGATGATCAATGCTAAGAATGTTAACTTTGGGTTAGTAAGTCGTGCCAACAAACTGGTGTAGATGTGATATGACTTTAGGCTTACCGCTTACATAGATGTATTATGTTAATTGAATTTGACTGCAATATGCGAGAAGCCTTAGCTACGCAATGATGAATCATGGGAAAAGGTTAAGATATGAGTGCAGTTATTTCATTTACTATCTGTAGCAGTATGTGGACTTGTGATGAATAGACATGATTCTACTTTGGTGTGTGCTTCTGTCACACCATGGTCATTACTAGTTTATGATGCTTTTATCCGCGATGGAAAAGCTGTTGTTACCATTTTGTTAACTTGAAGATGACATTGTGCTTTAGTGATGCTTGTATTGATGGATTATACTAAGAGAACATTGCCCATTTAGGTTGTTTATGCTTCTGAAGTCTTATAGATTAAGCAAGAGATTTTATAACTTACCTTATTATAAAAAAGGTCAGATTTTATAAATTTAGGAAGATAGTAAGTTTTTTGAAACAAACACAAGTAAGATTTACTCTTTTTCTTATTAAATTTAGAACATCTTGTGATTTAATTTGTTTATACAAGTTCTTTGAGGATTTGCGAGAGGGGCAATCGTTTTTCTATCTTGTCTTAGGTTTATTAA